TGTGTACTTTGCATATCTGTATAATTTACTGTCTGATATACCTTGCAGAGTACAATGCTGCAGTGTTTGAAATTATTTAAACTTCAGGGGAAAAAATGTTCTTGGAGCCCTCCTATCTTTCCACTTGATGCCTACCTTTTTAAATGGCTATGCTGTAGCAGACTGTTCTGCTGGCATGAAAGGTTTGATAGTGATTCAGAAACAGTAACAGACTGAAATAGCCCAAAGTGAGAACAGAGTTTTAAGGTCACTGTAAAAGCTGCAAAGGTAGGGCAGAAGGAGAAATGGGAGGGATTTCAAATTTGATAATTCTTCTGAAAGCATTAAAAAAAAAAAAAAAAGATGTGGTTTTGGGTTTTTTTGCCATATATCTAATTAAACTGAAATCTTGGTAGGTAGAGGGCATGTTTTCCATAGCCCAGTGAGCATGACTTGTACTCCAAACACAATCTTCATAAAGCTGTTTCAGACACAGGACACGCAGTATGACCTGATCCTTTTATTCTGACGTGCTAAGCCATCACAGCACAGATCCAAAAAGGAACAGCATACACTTCAAGGCTACCCATGATCCTGGTGCAGCACAGTCCTCTGACATCTGTGGTGACCTGGAAAGGAACTGTGGGAACAAGAGGAATAGCAGCACTGCGTCAGGGGAGAGTGAGCTGGTGGGAAATGGTGGTAACCTCTGATTTGCCTTCCAGTAAATCTCCACTTGGCTGTGAGTAGGAGGACTTCATTTAAAACTAGAGATACTGGCAGATGCTTTTATATAGGAGAACATCTTTTTTTTGCAAAGAACACCTTTTCAAGTAATTTTCACTTCACTTTAGAATACAGAGCACCAAGGCAGGAGAATGAGATGGTACTTAAATACAAGTAATCAGAAGTGGGTTTAGAAATACTTTTAGAATTGGACATGATATGGCTCCTGTCATTGCTGCAAAACCCTTCCTGAATGCACGCTGGTATCTAATTTACCTTAGAAGAAGCTGAAGGAATATTCAGATTCCTAATTATTGCTTTTCTGTTTGCAAGGATGCTCACATGGCCCATCCTTGGTAAAATGGCTTGAACAGTAACAGCTGTTAAGATAGGAATGTGATTTCAAGCCTCCAAAACTGGCTGAGTGCATAATGCCACAGCTGATCCTAATAAATGGATGACAACCGTCACCTGGATTAAACAGTAACCAGGACGTTACACGGTGAGTTCTGAAAGAAGGGAAGGGCCAATTTGGAAGGAAATGTATGGGACAAAAGAAACTTTGTAACAGGAGGGAGAACGGCGGTAAGGGATAGATCCAGCAGTCAAAACCAGAGGAGGCGAGTTTGACACCGTTTGTTGTATGTTCATCTGCTGCCATCAAAAATTCTCTGCCAGGCAGACTCATCCTCCCTGCCTGACTCTGCCAGTGCCTTCGTCCAGCTCAGGCAGTGGCTGTGCAGGTGTGACAGGAAGGGATTCACACCTGGGTGTAAGTGGTGCTTCTTCCCTGGCGTGTGCATTAGCAGGCTGTAAGGCGCAGCACGGGTACACGTTAAGAACCCACATCTCCTACAGGAGGTGTGGGTGAGAGGTAGGCTGTGTGTATTACCATGGGTGGGTGGTGCACAACTTTGTGTGGATGATTAGAACTTTGGGAGATTAGTGAAGAAAGGTTCTTTAGAAATTTGTTAGGTGCTTATTAGCATTTTGTCTAATAACAGTGCCTTGTGTGATGTATTGCTGATATGGAAGCTGAATGTATATCCCATTGATTGCCAGTTAATTATGTCCTATTAATAAATCTATAAACTAGTTTGATTTTGATTTGGTTTAAACTAAGTAAACTGTGCAGTCTTCCCCATCATACCTTTAGATTGTGATTGTAGATATTACATGGTGTGAAATGCCATGAGGAGTTATAAAATTATGTGACACTGGGAGAAGAGGCAAATGTTGACAATGAAAAGATAATCTCACTATTAATACAGTGGGATAGCACATTTTCATGAAAATTTTTGGGCAAAGCAGTGACTGGTTCTAGAATTTTCTGTGGGATATCATTAAACTCAAGTGTAACAGGAAGCATGCTGTTAGAACATGCTGAAATTATACTGGTCAGAGATGCTATTTCAGCAGTGGCTAATTAAGCTTCTATTAGTTCTAGTCATCATTAATTCCCTATGGAATACACTGACTTCCTCAGATCTGTCTTCCTAACACAAAATGATTTCCAAACACTGTTCTCAAAGTTACTCAGGTTTGAACAAACACTCTGAATTTTGATGTTAAGCCTCCACATTGAGCAGGAAATGAACAAAAACTTCAATAACTTGTTCTGACCTTATACTGTTTCTGCTTTGTGCAGGAGTATTGGGCAGGATAAATTCCTGAAGTCCCTTCCGATCTGTACTTCCCTATGATCTAATATCTTGACATGCAATTTTTCTCGTGGTGACATTTTCTCTGGTGGTGATATTTTGGCTGTCTGGCTGTGTCTATGGCAATATTTGAGTGTGGTCATGCCAGTTCTCAAAGCAATAGCTCTGCTTCCTTAGATAAAATCCAGCTGTCTTTGACTGCATAACTACTTAGACATTTCTACTGGTTTGGTTTTTTTTTTTGAGTAGGAAGTAAAGGTACTCTAACCTGCCTTAGAGGTCCTGAGGCATGGTTTGCCTGTGCACTCTGTTTTGTTAGAGGCTGGAGATGACTAAACCAAGTCAGACACAATAAAATAAAAAATTAGTATTAAATTGATAGCCCATGGACGAGGTGAGGAAGGAAAGCAAGTTTAGGTTCCTGATTTTATTTCCATTTGGTTAGGGTAATTTTAGTCAATGGTTTAAGAAGATCACAAAGACAAGACTGGAAGGGACTGTATCTGGTCCCTTGCTTTGTGACTGAAGATGGTTTGTTTGTATAGGCCTCCATTACGTCCATACAAATATTGTGTCACTAGGTTAGGTGAGTCTTCTAATTTTTAACTTAAATTTATTCATAGGAGTTCTGTATCTGTCTAGTTTTGCGTGCTGATGCTCAAAGAGTTTTAATATTGCCTGTATTTGTAGGGAGCAGTCAGGAAAATTAAGGTACCATTTCAATTCCAGTTTTGGTTCAGCTGTGGATGAAGTTATCTTCGACTGTGTTTCAGCCCATAATTATTTGGCAAGTGGTTTAATGACCCAAAAGCAGTTTGATAAGACCCAAAGCAGTTAGAGCTTCATGACATTAGAAGATACAACGTTTAAAATGGCAGAAACTGTAGAACCCATGCCTCCAGCATGGATTTTTACAGCTAATTGGTTTGAGCCGTTGTATCTGGGTTGGAATCCAAGCCTTTTAAACTCTGTCTCAGTGTTTTTCCAGTTCTCTGAGCTTCCCACAGCAGTTAAGGAATTGGAAAACAGCAGTGTCACTGTGCTGCTGTGACAGAGAAGGTTAAACCATCCTTAGTTCCTCACCGCTGCAGGGTGCTGCAAGATTCTGCACAGGTACAGAAGCATATGAATACAGACACCTATGGTAATGTGGCAAGATTGGTGCAGAGGGACAAGTGGGACTGTCCTGGTGCTGTTAGAGCATGTCTGTCTGCAGCAGCACAAGCTTCTGTACCACAGAACAAAAGGAACTATAGATTTGGGCAGTGAAGTTCTGTGAGGAGCTGTTTTCTTGGAGCTCGACTATGGCAGGTGCAAAAAATATCTCTTCAGTGGTCAGGTATTCACCAGTAACTGCAAAGTGGATGGAGATCGATCATCACAGAGTCATGGAGCAGGGTGAGAGTTCATTTTCCGCATATGAGTCATTTGTCTAGGATAGGGGGAGGGAAAGGAAGAGATATTATGCTCTCTGAAGAGTTCTTGTGGGTGAAACAGCCGAATGCCAGTTTTCACTAAGACCATTTCTTAGAATTGGGGACTGAAAACACAGCCCAAGTTAAAAAAAAAAAATAAGTTAATTCCAACTACATTTTAGGAAGACAAGAATTTTTAACTGCTTTAAATGCTTTGGGATTCAAGTTTTATTTGACATCTGTTCTGTAGACACATTACTTTTAAGGATATGTTATGTATTTTTAAGGATATGCTATGTGTTTTTTGGGAGCATATACAAGACCAATCTGTGTATACTCCATGCCAGTCAGACATCCCCACTGTGGGGTACCTGGTCTGCAACTGTTTTGTGTCCATCTCATATGAGCACCTTGTAGTGTTACATACTTTTTCCCTAATTCTCAGTCTCAAAATTTCTCTTCATATGATCTACATTTCCAGTGGACTGCACTTATAAAACCAAGACACATCCTGAAACTATTAATAAGACTGTTGTTTATGTGAATCCATGACAGGTTCCTCTGTTAGCCCAGTTTGCCATATAGTTCTTTTTGCATAGTCTTTATATTTCTCTTTGGAAAGTTCATTATCTATCTTACAATTTATTCACATCTTCTCAGTCTTATTTCTTATGTGATACTGAAACAAGTGCTCCAGCATCACCTAGGTTTATTGAATCAAGAATTTGATCAAGTACATTTCCTTTGCTCTGGGCAGTTGGTTCTCTTATATAAGAAACAGTGAGTGACCAGTAACTCACTTTATATTTTGTCAGCCTTTTATTTTGGTTGTTTTCAATATAGATCTTGAATTATATGTGTAGAGAAGTTCATTTTTACACACATTTAACGTGACTTTGTTTTCTAACTAAGCAAACAACACACCAAGAATCACAAAATAATTTATTTGTACAACTGCTTTTAGATACTAAAAAAAGAACCTTGTATGAGTATGTAGGGAATAAATCTGAAGGAAAAAAAAAATTAAAAGAAAAAATGATGTAAAAACAAGCAGATCACAGGAAAGGAATGTGTCAACCTAAGCTGCCAGGCTTTTATTTATTCGTTCGCTTAGCAAGGTTTAGAGAGGAAAAAAAAAAAAAAGAAATACTTGTGTGTTGCAAGAGGTTTAGGGGAAGTGACTGCTGAAACCAGAGTATAAATGGTTTGCAAGGTCAGTCTCTGGAGCAGTTAGTGAATAAAATAGGAGTGGAAATAACACAAAGTAATCAAAAAAGATAGGGTACAATACTGAATGTGTTTGGATGAGTTTCTGAATCTCTAGGATGTTGCTCCTGGGCTATGCAGCTCTGCTCTTATGTTGGATGTACTGTTCTGCACAAAGAGGTAAGATTTAATGTAGAAAGAAAATCTAAGCCCTTTCTTAAACTGTATGTGAAGATAGTAATTAAAACAATATGTAAAGGCATTGTAGCCTTTTTTATGAACTTCTGACAACAGTGATTGAGATTTCTTCTGGCAGTATTTAGCACCTTCAGTATTTTGTATCCTATCATAGGTATTACTTCACCTATTTATTTATTTGGATAACTACTGCTGTTATTAATCTGATGCCCAAATTTTAAAGGTTACTATCGGTATAAACTAGAGCCAGATAACTAATTTTTTATTAATTATGTTTGTTAATTATTCTAACATCTAAAACCAGTAAACAATTAGTAGAATAAAATGGAAAATATTCCATAAATATCCACTTATTTCTGTCTGGAAAAATCTGTGAGATGATTTGAGAAAGATGAACAATTACTAAATTGACTGAAAAGCTAATAAAATATGTCTTGGCTGACAGACTGTTTTTAATCTATGAAATGAGATAAATGTATACAAGTATGCTTTTGTACATGTTTAAAGAGGTAGCTAGTATACTGTATATCTTTTCACGAGCCTCTGACGCTTTCTGCTTCTCTATTGAATTTATTTTTCTTTATTTGTATTTATATTGTTGAATCTATCCTCAGTAATTTTTTTTTTTTTTTTTGCTTTGCATAGACTGTTGAGGAAAGGGTACTGTGTGGGTTTGAGCTAGTGTGTCTTTGCTTGGTTCAGGTTGGTTTTAATTTTGGGTGAAAATTATGAAGACCTTATTAATCAAAACAATGCAATGGATTTTACTTTGAAAAATTGAAAAAAAAATCAGGAAATTAAAGGAATATCTTATTTTAATTAAACATCCTTATAATAAATACTGCCTCAAAGCAACTAATAAAGTCTAATTTGTTCGCCAGGAAGTCCAGAAAAGTTCTGGAACCTGAACTGAAAGTTTGCCTGAGTTTGCACTGTGTTTTCACAGTGCTTTATTTAGGTCAGGGAGATTGCAAAAGAATGTGAAAGTAGCAAAATTTGATTTGTCCAGGACAACTATTACCATGGGTCATGCAGGATTCTTAGTTCAAGCTTCATACTGGAAGTCTGTGTGAGTTGTTCCAAGAGCTGGGTTTTTGCACAAGGACGCAAAAACGCTTCTGCTTGGATTTGTAGCTTGTGCTTGACTTGGTGGAAGTTGCTACCAGCACAGTGATGGCAAGAAAGCAGCTTGAGCTATTTCTGAGGTCAAGTCACATGTAAATAGTGAATGAATTATTCCAGGTCTCCTAATCTCTCACTAGAGCATTTGAAGGTATGCATTTAGTGCGTGCTTTCAAATATAAAACCCTTCCAGTATTGGTGAGTACATATGGCAAGTGCATGATGTAATTCATACAGTTTTGAAGTACATCCTGGCAGTAAATTTCTTCATCTCTAGCTGCTAAGAAACTGCATTTAAAAATATAATAATTAGCTGTAGTCACAAATAAATAAATAAATAAAATCTGACACTTGATGGTAATGCATGACATCAATATCAGGGCAGGAGTGGGAAAGAACAGAGGGAGTTGATATAAAACCCAGAAGGAAACATTTCTTAGTAATGATGAAGAAATTAAGATTATCTTTCATGCTTTTTTTTTTTTTTAATGTAAAGAGAGAGGAGCTGAGGCCCCAGTCTGCACAACAGACTATAAAAATATAATACAACTCAGAAGGAGGAACAGAGTAGAGAATCTCTCCCTGTACTCAGTAGCCTATTTTTTAAATCTTAGATTTCAGTCTGCTTTCTCAGCTTGCAAATTGAAAGTGCTAATTCAAATGAGGTTAACGAAAAGTATGTGGAATTACAAAAATTCCTTTTCTCATCATTACAAAGAATTTTCTTGGGTAAACTAACCATTTTTAACTCATTTGAAAGAGTTAGCTAGAGGATTCCTGTTCATTTTCTTATTCCTACATTTTACAAAAAGGTTGATAGAAGGCAAATGTATCTTAATCTTGCTGAGAAAAGTATAAGTCCCTACTACTTTTTTATAGTAGGGTAGTACCCTCTAGTGCATAGAAGAAATAATTTTTATTCAGATGTAATTATTCATAGGATGGAGCATACTAATTAAAGTAATGGGAAAAAACATGAACATGGAGGCACACTCTTCCTTTAGCACCTCAGCAGTATTTCAAAACTTGTCCAATTCCTCTGGCTACTTAAAACAGCCAAACTAAAATTATTAGACCTCACCATTAACATTATTTTCTTTTTATTTTCAAAATGTCATACCGAACACTTAAAATTATACGTTTTTCTTGTAACAAATCTCTTTTTTTCCTGCTTTTTAGGCAATTTTATTAAATTACTCCTCTAATTTGGTAGGTACTAATTTGGTAGGTACTCCACTGACTGAAATAGTGAGTGCTCAAGGGTATGTCTTTGCACAACTCAAGTATAATTCACTTTCCACATTTTGATGTGGAAGAATGAGTACTTTTCCTGCTCACTTTGTGTTAGAAATCCAGGCTGCCTGATCCGTGGTTGGAATGTCCGCAGTGTAATTCAGTAAACTGGAACTCTGCATCCCTCACATGAAAAAAAATCCCTAATTATTTTTCCTGAAGTCCTGTTTTCAAGCACCACCTGGACAACCTGTAGGAAAGCTTCAGTGCATGTACTGCTGCTTTCTCAAACCTTTGGCCTTACAGCTAACCAGTGAGAGGACTTCTGTACTCATCAAGGAGTTTCCTTCCCTGGTGGATAAGTCTTCTCCCATTTATTTTCTGTACAGAGATTTCGTTTCTTTTCCAAGGCTTCATTTCTCAGGGGTTGTTTTATTTATTCTTGATGAATTCTCACCTTTCACATTCAGATGTAAACCAGACTTCATTGTCTAATTAGCTAGACTGTTCAGACTCTGTTACGCTGGGTAAAGCTTTAGCCTTCAAAATGAGTACATTTCAGTCACCCAGGCACTGAAAATTAGTCACTGAAATTAGTTCAATAATTATAAACAACTGAAAAAATTGTTTCTTAACAAAATAATTTAGTCTTTCATTAGCGGCTTGCCAAAATTTTTCTCTTTCTGCTTTAGTCTGGCTTTTCTCATTCTCAAGCTGTTGAGGAACTCCTTAATAAAATTGATTCAGGCTCATTTGTTGTAATTCATAATCTCATTGACAAGAGAAAATAAGTTTTGGAATATCAGGTGATCTGAGCCTGGAGAGAAAGTTTAGGCAATGTGAAGCTGAGAGGAGATTTCACAGGATTTGATCAAATGACACATGAAATTAATGTCAGTAAAGATGATGGTGGCTGGAGAAGAAAACAGTTTGAAAGGAAACCCTACAGAGTGCATAGAATTCTTCTCTGTGGCAATGGAAGGACATGCGTGGAGCAGCTCCTGCAGATGGAAGGGTAGGAGGTGTCTGTGGTTAGAACCAGGGCACTAATCTCATCTCAGTCTTTGTAACTAAAATCTGTTTTGTGAATCATCACTGTCCCATGTGGTTTCTTGGCACTTCCTTGGCTGTTTTCATGTCCTTCTGAAGGTCTCTTCCAATTCCTACAAAATGTGGATTCTTGTCAGTTTCCTATTTTGTGCTGATTAAGTAGAAAACCTATGTTGGTTTGATCACAAATGTCCCCAGGATTTCATGCTACATTTTCTATTGTAAAATTGTTTTGGAGTTTGTAACATGTGCTTCGGTCACCAATATTTTTATTTAAATTTTTTAGCTTGTGAGCAACCTCCTCCTAGGAGGGTTAAGGAAGTGCCTACTAAAGTATGGGACAAACCTCCCTATCCACATGGTACTCCAGCAACATACAGTTGTCGGCCTGGATATATAAAACACGGACGAATTATGTTTCAGTGCAATGATGGAGTGTGGCAACAGCAGCCCCCACTGATAGAATGCATAAGTAAGTATTTACGCAAAATACAAGCAAACATTTGACCTGACAGGTTGCATTCCTTGCCAGTGACGTTAATGTGAAATTGCCATTGTGTCTTTACCTGTAACTTACTTATTTCTGCAGTCTTTAAAATCTCATCCTAAAAAGTATGTATGCATAAGGAAACATTTTTTGAACTTCCTTTTCTCCAGATCAAAGGATTTATTTTTTTTTCTTGACAGAAGATCTTACTCTAGGCCAACCTTATTAACCCTTATTAACTGTTATTAAGATCAGTTATTAAGTTGTTAGAAGCTTGCTTCCTATATTTTATTAAATGTCTAATGCAGATGAAATTTACAGACTAAGCAGAAGAAAGCACTAACCTAGCTTCTGCATGCAGTCAAGAGACAGCTTATTCAACTAGTTCTATGAATGATATAATTTCTTGGAAGTGGGGTATTACTTTTTCCTGCCTTTTCTTTTAATCTGTAATTCACAAATAGGATGAGAGCTGCTATTTATTATCTCTAGTGTACTGTGTTAAGAGTTTAGAAGTATCTCACAACCTCGTAGAGAATTCATTAGCGAAGAAATTGAAGTTTATTATCGTTAGTCAGCAGATACTATAATAACTGAGTTTTATACACAAAGGAATTTTCGAAACATGAGGGGTTTTTCTTGCGTGTCTAACATACAAAATTTTCACTAGTAGAATATAAATGTTTGGGTTTATAATATAAATTTAAGTTCTGGGTGGCGTTCAACCAGAGATTGATACAAATCAAGAATTAATTAAGAAAGTTGCTACTAGGTTTGTTTTACATTTTTTATTTAGTCACCATCTCAGCTTTTAGATTTACTTGTTTAACTACGCAGTGAACACAAACCTATACAAAATTTGATGTAGTTTTAAGTGCCATGTTTTAGCAAATACTGCCACCCAGTGAGCAGCCATCGCCACCGGCAAGGAGCGAGTGGGAAGAGAGGAGGGATGCTCTGCCACAGGCTAAGGGAACACATTCCTATTCCAGGATAGGCCACAGTAGACAGGAAAACTGATCACGAGTTTTCCATTTTCTCTGAATCCCACTGTAGTGGGTGTAGGGCCTACTCAAGCACCTCTTGGTTGGAAAAAAAAACAAGGATGTTGATATGGCCTAAGAAATGAAATTGCCTTGATTTAACAGGGACCAGGAAAGACTTCTGAGGAGGGCTGATAGGATTTAGCTGTGCAGTTTATTTAACAGTCCATATTGTAGCATCAAAAGAGGATGAATGACAAGGTTGGTGTGTTCATCTCTGCCATTCTTTTGGGAATCCAGGGTAAAGAGTTAAGAAAGTCTTACAGGGAACTTTGAGCAAAAAGCCCTAAGGACCAAAATACTCCAGTGGCTTTAGATCATCCCTCTTTCCTCAGCACATTCCCCATCAGATTTCATTTCCAATCATGGATGAATTCTCTAGTGGAAGCTTTGAACAAGTTTATGTCACAAATTACATGAAATGTTGCCATAAATTTGTCACAAAACTGAAGATGATCTCAGCCTTTCTAAAGGAATAAACCCAGCTAATTTGGAGTTTGGGTTTTGGTTTTTTTAAAGGAACACATCCATACTCCAATATGTTCTCATTGAAAATAGTGATAAAAAAGGGAGGCATTAATCAAACTATCGCTGAGAATTTTTGAATTTTTTGAAAGGCCTGTGCTCACTACTAATTACTGAGAAAATGCTGTCTTTCACATTTTCATGTTCCTGTGTATGGTGTAAGTACTTTTTTTTTCTTCTTCATCATCATCTTTTCTTTTTTTCTTTTTTTGTTTTTTTTACCAGATAAACCCTGTGGGCATCCTGGAGATGCTCAGTTTGGTTCCTTTGAACTTACCATGGGACATGACTTTGTATTTGGTGCCAGAGTTGAGTACAGATGTAATGATGGGTAATACTTGTTTAATTCAATGTATGGGAATTAACATAAGGTGTTAATGATAGTGTCAGTTATATATTTGTTCTCTGTAATGCAGCTGTAAAGCATCTTACTGATATTTAATTCTTGCTTATGGATGAATTTGAATTTCTGCAATTATGTTAATACTAAAGATAACTCTTTCCCTTGCCTGGTGCTACTGGAGTAACTGAACTCATGCACTTGACGCTTCATCTGAAGTGTCTAAAATATGTGAGGCTTTATCTAACTTGAAATCATGGCTGTTGAGTAGAAAACAAAAATAGTGACCTGTCTGCAAAGCTTCATCATGACTCTACCAGCCAGCCAGTTCAGATGGAAGTGCAGGTCAGTAAGCTGGAATCTGTGCTGCCAGTAGGCAGCCAGGATGCAGTTGTGTTAGAGAAGTCATTAGGCCATACAACAATCTCCTCTTCAGAACCACAACTCGTCAGTCCTGCTTCAATCATTTTTTGCATTATGAAGTAAAATGTATGGTAAAAAATGTTTGAAGGAAGACATTTCTGGTAGACTCACTATTGTTTCTTCACTGAATGCTTGAAAGAAATTCTCCTCCTTTCCTCCTTTATTCATCTTCTCCAATGAAAACCACAGCGAGTCGAATACACGGTGTTGTGCTTAGTTAAGTGTGCCTGTGTTTGGATCTCCCCTTTTGAAACACAAATCAGCTCTTGGCCTGCTACTGTGGTTTAGTCATGATTTTGCCACTGTTACATTACTGGAATCTAATCCAAGTTGCACAAAGAGAGCTCAAAAATCAATATTTTCCTTAATCTCTTAACTTCCATTCATCACTGTCGTTTTCAGACCAGCTGTACTTCCTCTGACTGCATTTCAGACCAAGCGGAAGCCATGGCATCGTGACCATGTTGCTCTCAGACTTAAGATAATACTTCCTCATAAAAGTGTGACACATGTGTTTTGGATTAAGTCCTATGTGGATGCTGTCACACGGCTTTCAGTTATACCAGAAGAGAAGCATCAGGAGCTTTATTCTCCTTGCTACTGACTATGCAAATTGCCCCTAGGTTATTTATTATGTAGCCAAAGCTTGCTATCTCTGTAATAAAGAAGCCTTCTTACTAATTCCTTCCTATCTTCTCATTTTATTTTATATTTTGACATATGCAATTAAAAGAAGACAAATAGGAGACATGCAGGTCAAAAAACTACTCTGTTTTGTCACACTTTGATTGTTCTGTGCTGAAACATCTGACACCTGCTTCCCTTGCTTCAAGAGCAGCAGCACTGTTGTTTCTGTCACATAATGAAAGTGTATTTTAGCATTGTTTACTTTTTATTCGGTAAGATACCAGATGCTCAGCCAAAGAAATTACCGTGAGTGTCAAGCAGATGGATGGAGCAACGATATCCCTCACTGTGAAGGTAAATGTGGTTTTATTTTCTATTTAATTCCTTTATTTAATTATCTGTCTGAAACTACCTAGAAACTAGTCTGTGATCGTTTACAGGTATTAATTCCCGTATGTTTAAATTCAAGTTAGGCAGCAGTGAAACCCTTACAATGACTGCTCAGCCAGTTTAGTCCAAGAAGCTTCTGTTAAAAACCACTCACGAAATGGAGTCCTGTCACTCCCAGAATGGTTTAAAGCTCTGCCTTGCCTGAAGGCCCTGACAGAGCAGCTGCCAGCAAAACATGGTTGCAAAAGGTATTTGGGATGCTGCGCTTCAAAGGAGTGTGAAGGCATGTGTGTTTCTAGCTGGTTTCCTCCTCCACCCTTGTGAGTATCCTAACCATTCAGATTTTGTTACAAGGTCTTCTCCCTATTATTAGAATATTGTGAAAGACGTTCAGTCAGTCAGAGTGAGAGCAAGAGAGACTCAGACATCAAGACTCAATAGACTGGATGGCTCAGATGATGCTTCCCTGATCTTTGATGTTATAATTTTTAACTGGTCTATTTTTAATACATGTAGACAGCAATGACATTTTTCTTTAGGTTAAGCATCTGCTATCAGGAAAAGGTCTGTAAGTAAGGAATCCCAACAGAAAGTAGATATCTTTCTCTTGTCTAGAGTTTGTTGTCTGTGTTTTGACATTTCCTTGGATGTAGATAACGTCACATTTAATTTAATCGATTTTGATCATCCTCAAACTTAGGTGTACAGGTCTGTCTGCATGGTATAGAGCAAGGGTTTCCAGCTTTTTCTGTCATGTGTCACCAAGATACTGCAATTCCAAAGTCCTCCTAAGATGGATATCCCTTTCATGGTTGCCTTTTCATTGAAATAAGATTGCTTATGAAAGAAAGTTTTTGTATAATGTCCTAAATGTGAGGAACCTAGAAGACAGAATATGACCTCACAAAAAAGGCAGATGACTTATAAGATGATGAATGCTGTCAGAGAGAAGTGGGAGCTTTGGTAGACAAAACACAAGTCACTTTTGTACCTGCACAGGGATGTCTGTGTGTGAACATTTAAGAATGAGTTTTGATAGTAATTTTCCCCCTTAATAAGAAATATTTGATGACATATGTTAATTCTTCCTTTTTTCTGCAGGTCCAAAACTGGGAGATGCTAGAGGTCTAAATTAATGGCTGACACTGTGTTTGTTTACTTTAGTAACACAATTTTGCTGATATCCTTAGCTAGGATTTTAGTTAATAGCTGAACTGTTGTAGTCAACCTGTGATGCAGCACTCTTCCAGGTATCTGTCCACGGCAAATTCAGTTTGGCACAGCTATAAACTAAGTCAACCAATTCTGACAAATTTTAATGACCCCAGTCAAGGCCTCAGGAGGCCATCTAGTTCAGTGGGTGCTCTGTCTTTAGCCTTCAAGGGCAGACAAGAGGATGATGAGAGCCGGTCTACAAGCTTCTTCCTGTGTCAATCGATCTTTTTGCTTAGGGGTTTGTGTTATATCTGCTGCAAATGGTATCTGAATACATAACTAAAGAGTGTATTTTTAAAATGTGTAAGGAAATGACAGTGAGTTTTCCGTATTTTCACTTTTGTTGTGTTTCAATTTATTTTGCAGACTAGACCTCAAAATTACTTCTTTTTTTCCTTTCTTTTTGTTTTGTTTTGTTTTTCCAGTGGTAAAGTGTTTACCTGTAGAGGCACCAAAAAATGGAAAAATAATTATGGCTGGTGCATTTGAGCTAGACCAAGAATATTCCTTTGGCCAAGTTGTAAATTTTGAATGTAATGCAAAATACAAACTTGTTGGAGCTAAAGAAATAATTTGCTCATCTGATGGAAGATGGAGTGATGATGTGCCTCAGTGCCAAGGTAAAAAAGACACTACTTACAATGTGTAATTAAGAAGCTTTATTCTCACAGACTCCTAAGGACTGGTTACCACATGGGAAACTACAAAGCTTTTACTTTATTTCACAGCAATTAAACATAGTTTCTCTGTAAACAATCTCCATTGTATATATGAAGAAGAAGTAGGATAAGAAAGAGAAATGTAATAACATTGGATGCTAATATAATCATAATAGACCATCTGTTTGTTCCACATTTTTGCTACAAGCTGACTGTTTTGCCAGACTGCAGTCAAATTCTTTGAAAATAACTTTGGTATGTCTACCAGAGGTTGAATCATTTCAGTGTTTATTTAACCAAAGTAACTAGAAGTGATTCTGGATCTACGTTAACCAAAAATAAACAAGTAGGGTTTTTAATCTTAGGGTATACAGAATACAAAAAAATCCTGATGGGTTTCTCTTTCTTCACACTAAGGTCTTTTCACAAGTTAGAAGGTTCACGTTTACAGAACCACAGAATCACAAAAGAGGTGAGGTTGGAAGGGACCTCTGAAGTTCCCTCAGAGCAATTAGGTAGGGCAAGTTGCTCAAGAACATGTTCAGTCAGTTTTTGAATATCTCCAGCAATGGAGACTCCACAGCCTCCCTGGGTAACCTGTTACAGTGTTTGAACACCCTTTAGTAAAAATGTTTCAGTGGTATTTCCTGTATTTCAATTCATGCCCATCTTTCAATTCATTGCCCATTCTCCCCATATGGCTGGCTGCCAATGGGAAAGGTCTGGCTACATCTTCTTTACTTCTGCCTGCCCCACGGAAGTCAGGAATTTATACATTTAAAAAAGACTCTCCCTCCCCCACCCCAAGCCTTCTTTTTTGTAGACTCTCTTAAATCTCTTTTAATCTGTCAGTTTTTCCAGTTCCTTAATTATCTTCCCTGGACTGGGGAGTTCGGACCTGGGGAGATCTGCTGGCAACACTCTTCCCAGTGGAGCCCAGGATGCTGTTTATTTTGTTTGCTGCAAAGGCACATTTCTGGCTGCTTTTTAACTTGTCCATCAGGTTCTTTTTTTCTGCAAAACTACTTTTCAGCCAGTGGACCCCATCCTGCCTGCCCTGCCTGCAGCTTGTACAGGTGGATTCCTCCCAGTTTGAGAACAGAGATTGTATGGGATTGGATTATCAGTATGTAAGAATGAATCCCAGGAAGATTATGGTAACAAACACTTAAATACTCAGACCATCAAGTTTCTTATGTTATTTATATGTTATCTGATCAGGAAGTATGTGTTTAGAAGAGCAGAGGATGTGTGTCAGGATGGCAGATAGATGTATGGTTTGTTCACAGTTTCAGCGCTGCATTTTGCTGCTTTGAAATCCCCATTTATTATCATTTGTAGCATAATCCCACATCATAAAGTGGAATTAAACATATGTGCTTATAACGTTTGCAGAATATGGTGAATTTCATTAAACAATGACAGTTCCAAGGAGCTATATTTCATCCTAAATACAAAGTAAATTCAGCGAAGGAATCCAAGAGAACTCTTGGGTGTTCTGCTCTGTGACCTAGGAAGCAAAGCCTTGAATATTTTCTGGGTTTATGAATTCTGTTTTAGGAAAATGCAAGATCTTGGTGGTTTTATTGGGTTTGGTAAGGAGCCAGGATTGCTGATGTTCTTTTATAGGTAGTTAAGCATTCTAGTGTCAGTTTTCAAGATACTTTAATTCTTTTTTCCTCTTGATGTAATGATTTAACTAATAATCTACTGGCTATGAGAGTGCATTAGGTTTTCTGGAAACTACAAACAAATTAAATTATCGGAAAAAAAGGAAAATCCTAAATTTCAGTTAACCTAGTTTCTGATTTCGGAATATAATCTGCATCAAATATCGATTCTGAGATCCATTAAAATCCAAAGCAAAGCCCTGAAATCTGTCTTGTGAATCAGTTTGCAATTGATGCTGTGCTACTTACTACCTGGAATCCACAATCGGGTCACTGAAGAGTTCTCAAATAAGTTTTAAACAGTTTCCAAATGCAAAAAGTTTTGTGAATTCAAATTTAAAAAAAAACAAAAAACAAAACAAACAAACAAAAAACCCCCTGAACTTTATTACGAGAGGATTTTATGCTTAGCAAATAAAAATAAACAAAAACACATGGATTTTTATCTTTCTCTATTTCAGATATTACCTGTGATGTGCCAGAAATTCTGAATGGATTTGTACATTCTCCGAAGAAGTCTTACAAGGAATTGGAAATACTGCAGTTTTCCTGTGATAAGGGATACAGATATGGCGAAAGAGGAGATGCCCTATGCACTGAAACAGGATGGAATCCACCTCCCTATTGCATTAGTCAGTCTGGTCTAAAGTGGTTTTACACATTTGTTGGGTTTGGAAGTAATTTCAGCGATTAATAAGTTTATTCATAACAAATCCATCCACATCTAACCAATATCCATGAAGATCAGAAAGGATTAAGTGCTCACGGGACCAAGCAACTGGATAAGAGTTTTCCATGGAGAGCAGTAGCAAAAGTGGTTAATTCCTTTTTTTTTTTTTCTACTTGACTGTAGATTGAGAGGTCCACAAAGCAACAATTACTCCAGTATACTACATAAACAAGATTGATGCTAAAATACTTCATGCAGCATTGGTAGCTGTTGTTATTATATTGTATTTTTATATAATTCTGAATTAGTGGGAAGAGCATATGAAAAGGATTTCTTCAGTTAGAAAAAACTACTAATTTGGACAGATAGGAAGGATAAAGCTAAGTACCTTCTACAAAACAGAGTGAAAATGTTTTATCAAAGGAATAGAAAAAATGAGACACTAAAAAGAATATTTAAGATGCAGGAAAAAAAGTATTAGTACCAAAGAAATTCAAACTGCAGAAGGAATCTGAAATTTTTAATGGCATGGAAAAATTAAATATTGAAACCAGCTTCTTGGAAAAGTAATGAAAAGTCCTATTTCTTCACATAAAATCTTGATATCTTCTTAGGGGTGTTTAACATGGACATAACTAGTACATACCAGAGAATGTGCTGTAAGTTGGAAGACTGAGTAAAGAAATATTTGTTTGATACCATATGAATAGCAGCAGTATGAATAAAATTGAGAAAGCTAATGGTCTTAGCTTGATGACCTACTAATGAATGACAAGCAGTTCTTTGAGGTAGAGATACAGGTTAATGGATCTTCAGCTCTTCCATGTTCAGGTATTTGAGATGCTGTGTCACCATAACCGAGACTGTTCCTTGTAATCCAAGGACTAAACATTCAGGCCACTCAGCATCTCACTCTCTATGAATATTTGAGACAATAGAAGTTTGTTTGACCTACTGAACTGACCTCTGCATTTTTTCTGAGTGTCCTGATGAGTCTAACTCACGAGCAGGCTGAGCACCTTCTTGCCAGTCATTATATCCATTCTTTAAAACCCCAGGCTACTAATTCTGATCAATCAGTTCCAACCAAAGAGAAGCAATTCAAAAAAGATCCCTATTTCACTAATGGACCTTCAGTAAGAAATTGTTGGTGTCCTGTGCAACCTTTCAGAAATGACTGGCAATTAAAACAGTAAACATCTTTCAAAGTATGTTTCAAGTTAAAATCCTGACTGAAGTTTGTAAGCTGGCTTTCAAGAGCTCTTCTGACATAGTAGGAAAGTATTGTAGGAGGGACAATCTGTAGCTGATATGGCCATTTCCAAAGGAGTTAAACAAAAGTGAAGTAGTCCAATTTCAGAAGAATAAGTAGTCTACTGATGGCCATAAGTGTGGAAGCTGAAAATTACAATGCAGTTTTAATGCTGGATTACACATAAAGCTGAAAACAATAGTACTTTTTGCACAGATATTTCGTCAAGAAATGGGATGCATGAATCCTGCCCCTGTGCATGACCCTTAGCCTAGGATGAAGGCAGCAACATGTTTAATGTCATCAGAGCTGTAACTGAACAACCACATTGTCCACAGCGTTCAAGCTTCACATCAGAAATTGTCTGAGAACCTCTACACATTAATATATTTACAATGCTAAAGCACCCTATTGCTTTTTAACTCTCAAATGCTTTCTGGGCAGCTTATGTGACAAATCCATAATTTTTGAGGCTAGTCCTGTTTGACATCAGCCCTCTGGGTCATGGATTTTACTTTTGTTTAATTCAATTACAACACTTACAGACTGTATTTAAATCTCTAAATCCAGCAAACAGAAATATGCATGCTATGTCCCAACTGAAGCAGCTTGATGTAAATTTTGGGGAAATCATTAATGCCTTGAATTGTCTTCCAGAAATTGCCAAACTCTTGAAACTGGAAAAAAATGTTGGCAACAGGGCAACATTGTAGGATGTTATTTACCACCTACCTTCCTGGGACCTCTTCCAGGAAGACTCCTTTAGAAATAAAGACTTGTCAGTCTTGGGGCCCACTCAGTTCTTGACCTTTCTGCTTCAAGATTAGTAATGATACTAATTAATATGCACCGCCTACAGTTGAGCAACATACTGCTTTTGAGAAGTGCCAAACAAACGTTCTTCTAGACACCAATATACTGGGCTCTGATGCTTGGGGCATGTTCAAAGAGTGGTTCTGGATCCTGCTTGACTTATCACTGAACCTAGATGATTCAGCCCCCTACTTTGGGGCAGTGTCCATAGATGAGCCCAGCATAACTCAGCTGCAAAATGACCTCCTGGAAAAAATTAGTCACAATCAGTTTGATTTCCTCCAGTTCTTCCTCCAACCATTCCCTTTGCAATTTAGTTTTAAGCTTCTAATTAACATGACATCAGTAACAGCTGTCATTCTTCTCTTACAGAACCATAAGAGTGGGAGAGGAATGTAATCTTTTCTTTGTCCTAAGAAACATCTTTTTAACAATTTTATGCAGTTATGGTCAGTATACTATGAAAACAAGAAATTAAGCAGTAAATTTAAACATATTCTTCATTTTTTCTCTTTTTGTTTAGAAGTCGTATGCTCTCCTCCAGTAGTTCGCCATGGGAGCTTTGGACCTGAAAAACCCAGCTACGAAGAAGGTGATACAATCAATGTACAGTGTGATGATGGATATCATTTTATAGTATTAACTGACAGATCCACAGCTGAATGCACCAAGAATGGCTGGGTGCCAATTCCATCTTGCGTCTGTAAGTAGCGCTCACGGATGAAAATACAAAATGTAAAGTTGTAAGAAGCATCTGAGAGAAAAAAAGGTGAAGAGCAAAACTCAAGGAGCATTAGGCATGGGAGTCATTCCTTTTTTTCTTTGTGACGTAAAGCTTAATGTGATGTTTTAGAAAAATCACCTATAATACAGTGGTTTAATCTATATTTACATTATGTTTATTAACACAGGTGTTATCTATTACTGTATTGGTGAATATGTTAAAATGTGCTATAGTCAGCTCAGTTGTGCTCTGCCCAAGGAGCATCCCAGTCAAGATAAGAGGACATTATGAGTGTTAAAGTAGCCAAAGCATAGGTAATGGTTGGAAAATGTCTTTCCTCTTAGCTATCACAGCTTTAGATTTTTACTTGGAGTTGTAAGTTGGTGTTATGAATAGTTGCATCTATTTCTATCTGTTATAACCTGTCAGATAAGAAAACAAGGTATTCCTGGTGGTTGATGAGCTCTTTATGGGCTTAAAGTTCCCATAACTACGACTATAGTTTTGCCCAGTAGGCTCAGTATAATAAAATAAACATATAAATTAGCAATTAGTTTCATAATCTAGCACTCTTTGATTTTTGGTCACTGAAAATAAAAGAAAAACTTAGAATAGATTGTGAGAAAAACCCTGATGGAATCAGCCTTGTAAATGAACCTTTGGATAAGATGGTTTGATCTATTTCTGAAAAGTGCTCTGTTAATATCTGTATTAATGTTTCCTCTATATTAGTATGGGTTCCAAAATTCAGGTGTCATTCTGAGACCACTCATTATTGAATGGTCTGTCTGGTGGGTGATTTGCCCTGCCCCTGCAGGCAGGCTCTGGCTCAGAGCATTTCGGGAGGAACATAGGTTAACTTGAAAACTTCTGGAAATCTCCTCCTTCTGTCCTTGACTTCTCCCTGAAAAGGGTCGGGTCTTTTGAGGAACCAAGAGAACAAAATTACAATTTTAAAATAAAATTTTAAAATAAAAATGAGAAGAGTGAGGAAGAGTTTTTGGTGCAGGATCCCAAAAGTTACAAATGGAAGCAGTAACAGAAGTCACTCAATTGTAAGAGTGTGCAGGCCAATTTCTATATCTGAGGCAGATGTCTGGGCTCCCATCATGGTCAACATGGTAAATTTAGTCAAGTCTCTCTACAAAGACAGTGTCATCTCTCTGTGGAATAAATATTTTTTTTACATTTAGTCTCATGAATCAGCCTTTGGAGTCTGCTGAGAATGTTTCCTGGCTTTCTGTTGGTTGCAATGGAACTGGGGGAAATGACATAGCTATAAGCACTGACAAAGACACCAGAAGCAGAGTGTGGTTGTTCCCGCACTCCTTAAGGGTGTGCCAGGGTGTGCGGTCCTGGTTCTGTCCGTCTTTGAAAACACCCAGGCGATGAGGCTGAATCTGAATTAATTGTGTGCTGAGCTTTTTATCATGCGTGTGTTGACATTGTTGCTCTTAAATTCTAGTTCAAATGAAACCATGTGACTACCCAAATATAGAAAACGGCAGGTTGGAGCGGTTGTCATACTATCGCTTTCCATTGACAATTGGGCAGACTGTTTACTACACCTGTAGCAACGGTTATTTAACCCACAGTGGAGATACCTGGCAACAAATTTCGTGTTCTGCAAGGGGCTTGCAGCCAGAACCAAAATGCCTGAGTAAGTGTATTTCCAATGTATGCTCAGTTCTGTTATAATTACCAAAGGTCTGTGCAGCAGAAATTGTTCTGATGGAACACAAGACAAAACAGTTTCTTAAAGTTAGACTGCTTTAGCTGATCCCTGGAACTGCATCCAGACTGTCATCTTCTGCAGAGCTAAAAGTGTCAGCTGGGGACACTCTGAAATGAGTAAGGCTGAAGTGATGCTTTTTTATTTTGGAGACTTTTTTACTCCTGAAAATATTCATGAGATTAAGAAATATATGTCTTCTCTGGCTTCTGGGTAATATGCAAGCATATACTTTCCTCTGCACACGCAGCTGCACATACAAACAGAGAGTTTCTACTCTTTGTGAATATATTCTCCCTTCCATGGCTTGGGCACTTTGTCTAGAGGTTCCTTTCTGAGAACCGTTGCCTGGTCTCTTTGGAAAGCTTTTGGAGCTGAAAAGATGTCACACTCTTGGAATAAGCTAAAAGTGATCATGGTATCAGCAAAAGAACCAGATACACTACTTAGATTTAAAATAAATTAGACTTAAAACAGCAAGGTGAGATCTCCTCTCAGACATCTTCAGTCACAGCAAAGTTCCTGCCTACTGGTAGGACTTGAAAGTGAATTTCAAAAGGTCGATCTTTCCTTGATGCCCTCAGTGGAGTGGTGCTCAGTGCAGGAAATAAATGGAGCCCTGCCTGGAGGAAAGGACCAGTTACTCAGATAACACCGTCCTTCAGCCACCTTCCTTATGTCTGGGCTCTTGGGGCACAGGAGGCCATAGAGCCAGTGTGCTAAGCTGTTGCTAAAATCTCTAGACCTGGTTTGAGAGGCTGATACACTTCAGCAGAGATTATAAAATATCCAGGAAGCAAATGCTGAAATTCACTCTGTGCAGACAGTTTAGAGACTTAGCAGCCCAAACTAGAGCTGGTGCACATGAACAATAGCTAAGAGATTTCGGTTACTAGATGACCACTTTTCACTTTATGTAGTGACTTTCGCTTTATGCAGGGACTTCCACTTCTGTTATTGTGATTCATTAATCTCAGGGCAGTGAAGTAAAGCATGCTTTCATTCAGGTTTGCACACAAATGTCTTTTTGGGATAGAAGGCTACAGAAATGTGCTTGGAGGCCTGTTTTTTAGTAACTGTCTTCCCAGGAATTATTTTGCCTCAGTTCTTGCTGTAGAAATTACTGTGGTTAAACGTTCTTACCTTTCTTCTTTAGAAATATGTAATGCCAAACAGATACAAAATGGTTATGTGCCAAAATTCCAGACTGGGATATCTTACAAAGAAGGTGATAGAGCTGCATACGCCTGCCACAGTGGCTACCAGACTGAGCACGAAGAAGTCACGTGCACAAGGAATGGCTGGTCACCTCATCCGAGATGTGTCCGTGAAAGTGAGTGTGCTTGTATTTCATTGAGGTTTCTCTCTAAAACCAGTAAATACATCGTCACGTCACCCATCACCACTGCTTAGTAACTCTAAGTCAAGTTGCTCTACAATGGGAAGGCAGTGCTGTGATTCTCTCACTTGTCCTATGCAGCTCTTGCGTCCCTGTGTGCTGCTGAGGTCAGTCACTATACGACAGAGTGTAACCCTGTAAAACAGCCACATGGGGCTCCTCCAGATATAGGATGTGAGCTCTGGGATGGGAGTCCTAATCCCTTTGTCTTCCATGGTGAAATCTTGTTGTAGCATAGCTATGCAATCATAAATAGCAATCATCTCCCTGGCACAGACTCCCTTCAGCCTCTCGCTATGCCATCTGATCCTTGTTCCTCTTGCCTCTTTTCCCATTAGCATCATACTGGAAGGTGGGAGTAATAGGAAGGTTACCTCTCCAATTAATTTCCAGCTTTTGTTCCTGACTTGCACCAAGCCTGAAATTGCTATAATATCTCACAGGAACTTTAAATATTTAGATAATTATTTCCTATTGACAAAGAAATAATTCAATATTTCAATAATTCAAACTTTTCTTGGACTGTAAGAATATTTTTTTTAGGAAACAATTTTACACTGATAGAGACTCCTGCCATATAATGTTTTAGATTGCCCGCCACTGAGATTTTGACATAGCAAAGAGCAAGAAAAATAAAATTTTATGTCACTGTGAAATTTAAACTTCTGAAGGTGTTGCACTAAAGTATCATTAACTCTGCTCCCAACAATAAATACATCCTCTAGTGTTCTTTAAAGTGCTTTGGATTTGGGGTTTTTTTGTATATTTGTTTACTTAGCTCTCTAATATGAAAACATTTCTATTTATTGTAGTGGTAATTTCTTAAAATGAAGACACTCCTTCACAGAATGATTAAGTAGTAAAGAATTCAATATGCATGTTTTATCTTTCAGAATACAAGAGTGAAACAGCCAACCGAGACAACTGATTTCCATCCATTTAAAGAATGTACTAAACATTATATATTAACAGTGTATTAAACATCATATCTAAACAATGTATTAACAGTGTATTAAACAATATATTTAAACATGAATGTTTAGTTAATATTAAATGGCTTAAACAATGTATTCCGAGTGACATGAAATCAGTTACAACATTGGGTCTGTTTGCACTAGTGTTTTATTGTGGAAGAAGGGAGCCTTTGGTACAGATTTGCTTCAATCCTGCAGTGTGTGCGCTCTGAATGACTTCTCCTTGGCAGTATGGACGGGAGGTGCTCTCTGTGCATGCACAGTGCTGTGCAGGCCCAACAGGAATTTCATTTCTAGTGAAGACCAGACATGGACATACAGTTTGGGAAGCTTGCAGGATTGCTGCAAATCAAACCTCTGTCTATCCCTGTTTGTGCTTCATGAGTTGGTAACTATGAACTCTGATTTCTTGCTTGCCAGGTGTCCCCCAAGAAGAGAGCTCAGTGCAGAAGCAAAACTTCATATGCTCTTAAAAATGTTCAAAGTCCTAGAATGCTGCTTCTTTTGTCTTCCTTCTGCAGTTTAGCAGTATTTTACTTGGAAGAAATTTTGTCTATCTCTTTCAGAAAAATGCGAGAGAAGGGCTTTTGAGAATGGTTATTTCACCTTGTCAAGGACAACATTCCGTTTTAAAGAAGTGACCTCATATAGGTGTCAAGATGGCTTTGTAACTGCAGAAGGAGAAGACGAAGGAGAGACACAGTGCCGAGAAAATGGCTGGACTCCACCTCCAAAATGCATCAGTGAGTACCTAAACATTTCAGAGCTCTCTACCATTGTCACCATCATAGAAATGGTGTCCTGTGTACCCAGAGTTTTGCCATCTAGATTGGTGGAGTTTTCTTACTGGGCAGAGGCTCAAACCTCTGATCCTCAGAGTTTAACCATTCTCAGACTCTAGGATATACAGAGAGAAAACATAAAGGTATTGAGTAAAGTGGGGAAAAAATCTACTGTCTTCTAGGTGACCTATCTTTTTGGATCTCTTTAGCATTAAGTAAATGGCAATCACTGACCTCTTCAGTGATTCTTACCTGACAAAAAGTACATTTGTCCAAATTTACTCCCAGTTTATGAAAAAATGCCTATGAACCAAGGCATTCTGCCAAGAATTTTCTTTAAATGCGATCAAACTAGAGACAAAGAGGATTCTTTATTTGGAACTTCTTTCCTCTCCTGAACAGACGTGTAGTATAATAAAAGCCTTAATTTTCCATTGTTGTGATACTGAGGCTCATAATACTGACCAACTTTAGCTGCCATTTTATCTTGTCCTTTTATTTCAGACTGTCTTTACCTAGGGTTTTGTGGCTTCTTTTCTGACCTCTCACAAATGACCACGGAAAAGGAGTACAAACCATCTGCTATGACACCAAAAATAATAATAATAATATGTAGCAGAAGAAAATAATTGAACCTAAGGAAGAAGTACTTATGCTAAATATTACTTCTAGACATATTTCTGAAGATTAATGCAATAGATAATATGGGAACATACTGCATATTCTACATAAATATTCTGGCAATGCAGAATTAATAATGTTTCAAATACACCTACAGGGATGATACTTCCAAAGGGCAATGTTTTTGGATAACAATATGCACTTTGTTTTACTCTACAGGATCATGTAAAGCACCAAAGGACATTTTGATTCACCACACAAATAAAACTGTGTTCATTCCTGGAGATAGAATTGAGTATTCATGTTTGGAAGGATATAAAATTGCAAATCATAAGCCAACTGATACCACAGAGTGTGGCATAAATGGTGAATGGAGTCCAGCACCTTGGTGTGTCGGTGAATATTTTTGTGTTTGCTAACTAGTGTAACTCTGTATGCACTCTGTGAACCATTTTTCTTTAAGACTTTCTTTGGTTTTGTTCTAATCAGTAGCATTTCATGTACTTTCTGTAGGGTGTACACTGTATGTTAAAATATTTTGTCTTTGTAGTAATCGAATGCGCCATGCTGGAATTGGACCATGGATATTTTTCTCCCAGGAAGGATAAATACTTAAATGGAGATGTTGTGACATTTTCCTGTGCAAAGAATTTTGTAAGAGTGGGATTTGCCTCTGTTCAGTGCTACTCCTCTGGATGGTTTCCATCACTACCAGAGTGTAAAGGTAATTCTTCTGTTAACTTTATCGTAGTAGGAAATAGATGAGAATGCCTTGGTTCTAAACACTTCTGCAGACACCTTCTATAAGCTAGTCTTGCTCCAAAAAACAACCATCCCATCTTCATCTCTAAAAGGCTAAGAACTAGGCCTCTTTGGATCATTTCATGGTGTTTTCCTATTTTGTGTGAAAGGTTCTCAACAGTTGAACCTTCAGTGTTGGACTTTCTGCTAGCTTTGGTTATGCAATATGAAGTTATGAAGTTTTGCAGTAACTGGAAGTGAGTTGGCAAATGGCTTGCACAAAATACTAATCAGGTTATTGATTGTAATGTTTGAAAAATTATTTATTATTCAAAAATGCATAAATAATGTGCAATAGGGCAGCCAGGAATGATTAATTTGAGCAATGCCCTCTCTTACTATATCCTAGATGCCCTAAGTTTTGCCATTGCCTAATGTTGATACCCCTCAGATACTGTATCCTATGTTCTTTTTTCTAATCACATGATATCGAAGGGAAAAAGAAGCTGTTTTGGAGGTAACACAGAACTGGGCCCAAGCCCCAAGAAACCCAGTGAAGGATTTTCCTGTGAAATTCCTTATCTTCATCTAGTAGGATGAATAAATTAATGCAGAAGGAAAAACATATACCTCTGTCCTTATCCTTTTTAAGACAGAGCACAACTTACTGGCATCTGAAAAGAGTTTTTTGTGTTGGTGCTACAGCCTTTCATGAGGCACATGGACTTTTCTGAAGCTTGAGAGGGTGAAGGGACCTCATATTTCTGACTTCCCTTTCTTCCCATTCAATCAATTCCCTTAATAGGAGTTCCATTCACTCCATCAAAAGTGAATTCAATTTACTCCTCTTTTAAATGGGAGCATGTTCTTCATCATGGAAAAGACTCCGCACCTACAACTTTGTAAGCACTATGAGCAGGTCTGGGGAAGGAAAAAGACACTTGCATAGTCATTGAAATCAACTATTGAAAGGAATTAATGTTAATAGCCACAGTGTGTAGAGCTTAACCCATCCTCATCACTTTTATGTGCATTAGTCCTTTTCACAGAATCTCAGAACGGGTCAGGTTGGAGGGGACCACAGTGGGTCATCTGGTCCAACTGCCCTGCTCAAGCACCCAGAAAGTAAGGTTTTCTATCATATTCATGTGGAAGTTCCTGTGCATCAGTTTCTGCCCAATACCTCTTGTCTTCTTGTTTGGCACCACTGAGAAGAGCCTGGCTCCGTCCTCTTGATATCCTTCAGATATTGGTAGATACTGATAGACCTTGATGAGGTCCCCTTCTCTTTTTGCTCATTTCACAGCCTTTCTATAGTTCTAGGGAATAAAACATTGGTTAGGTTTTTTATTATTATTATTTGCTCCACTCAGCAAAAGGGATTCAGCCGACATAAAAAGATTTACGTAGCTGGAAAAAAAAAGTCTTTGTTTCTGTTTCTTTGTTTCTTCTAGGAACCTTAGGCTTCAAGGAACCTTTTACTTCAAGTAAAAGGTAATCTAGGAACCTTTTACTTCAAGTAAAAACCCACATTCGTTAAGAAACTGATGATATCTTCATTAGTACACATTATATGAACTAAATCTATTTTCTCAGCTCTTTTTTTTTATTTTTTTTCAGATCCATCTCCTCAGTGTGAACTTCCAGTGGATGTTGACTTAGTGAGCCCTGATCAACATCCCATGTCAGAAAGCAGGACTGGCTTTCATGAAGTTATACATTACAGATGTGCACCAGGTGACGAAAACACTAAACAAGCAACCTGTGTGTCTGGAAAATGGACACCAGAGATTAAATGTCCAGGTGTGTTGTTAGATTTGCATACCATTTCTTCTTTTTACGTAGGAATGATAAATGATCATTATTAAAGCTTCTTAGTGTTGCTGTATCGCTAGTCTGAAGTAGAAATTGCTTACATGCTTATGTATATGCTAAAGGGTGTCACCGCCATCATCTGAGCAGTTAACTAGAGATGCACTACTTCAGTGAGGCAGACAATGATATCTCTACTCTGACAATTGGAACAGTTGTCACTGTCACTTCTGATGTGAGAAAAGATGCAATGATAAATTTAAGCTCAGTTCTTCAAAAGGCCTTTACCCTGATGCAAATTAGAGAGCACAAAGCTCAAGCTGCAGTCAGAGTTCCTTTATTTCACGTAAACACTCAAAGCTTTTCAATTCCTGATTTTTCTTTTCTTTCATTTTTTTCCAATTGCTTCCTAGTGAAACAATGAGAAAAATGGTGAGTTGGGCAATTCAAAAGCACAGACCTAGAGGAGATTGCCCTCGTGTAACACATATCAGAGGTTGAATGCCTGCAGGACTGCCTTTTGCATGGCAGAGCAGGATATTGCCCACAGAAAACATGACTGTAAAACAATCATTGCCTCTTTGCCTGCTTTGACTATACCAGATTTATGGGAAAAGACGTGAGGAAATGGGAGAAGCACACAGCACACAGTCACTCTAGGGACCATTCCCTTTCAAGACCAACTGTCTCTACCTCCTCACTTTTCTGGAGCTACGAGAAGAAACAAACCAAGCTCTGGAAGCCTCCTCAGATCTCCATCCTAGATCTACCTACTTCCCTCCTTTTTTCTTTCCTGTGGCAGGAAGAGCCTTTCATTCCTTGAGTGGCAAATTTGAAGCCGATTTCTTTGCTTCCTTTTGTGATTCTCATTTAGCTCTATCAACTAAGTCTGAAGAAAAACAAAACAGGAATTCCAGAAGTTGGTTCAATTTTCCTAAAATAGTTCACCGTAGAGAGACGAACAGGGAAAACACACAAGAGTGTGCAGCTGTGTGAAAGGGAAAGAAGTTCCAGCCTAGCTTGATGTGGGTGACTGTGGCAGTCTTTTCTACAACTCTGAAAGCATATGAGCATCTGAAGGCAGCTCTGGTGTTTCTGAAGCAAAACAAAATGGTGATTTTTTTAATTAAAGCTTGAGATATAACTATTGGAGAGTTATCCAACATCAATGTTTTCTTGGTTCTTTGTGTTGTAATCTGCGATGAACTACTATATCTCGTTTCCTACTATAATATGAATATATGTCCTTAGTTGAGGAGGGTATGTGCCCGCCTCCACCTCCGGTGTCTGGTGTTCAACAGACAACAGCTGGAAGATATTACAGGAATGGGAGTAAAAAAGTTTATTCATGTCCCAGCGGTTTCCAGCTCATCGGTGCAAATGAAATAACCTGTACAGACGGGAAATGGCAAGCACCACCTCACTGTGTGGGTCAGTACTGGGCTATTTTTTTCTGTTTATTTTATTATGACTTACTGTGTTATGCATTTGCAGTCATCATTAGCAGGAGGGTGCTGTTATTAAAATTAACATGAACAGGTAACTGCAGAAAAGCAAGAGAACAAAAGTTGCTAAAGAAAGTGTAGTTAAGCAGCTGCAGTCTTTTTTTTTACACTGACTGGTCTAAGACGGCATATAAAACTTTCAAGTAGTCTCTCAAGAGCTGTGTGCTTATTTGTTTTTGTAGTATATTGCATAATGGAGTCTCAGTTTTGACTGGAAGCCTTAAATAGCATCCCAAATTCTGCAAATGAGCATTATTTATTACTTAGTTGCAATTGCAATATTAATTTTCTTGCATCTTGTTTATCTTTGTTTTATGCATTTTTTCAGAAAAACCATGTTTGCCACCACAGACTGTAGAATGTGCTGATCCTCCCAGGCTGGAAAATCCAAACTTAAAAACTGAAAAGGAAGAGAAATCAATTTATCTGGCCGGTGCTAAATTTAAGTATGTTGCTCGTTCTGGATACACGTTAAATGGATCAACAGAGATAAATTGTACTATGGGAGAATGGACTGCAGCTCCTACATGCTTGGGTAATATAAAAAAATACTTTTTAAAAAATTTATTTATTTTTTTATTTTGAAGTGCATTTAGCAATGAAATGGAAAGAATTTTAAACTGAAGCTTTATTTTGCTGTGGAATCTTATCTTCCATCATGGATGTCTCCAGAGCAATCCTGACTGGGTGCAAAACTGACTTTCTGGATTTAGCTTGGTTTTAAATATTCCTTTGTATTCTTGCAATCTTTGCTCAGTTCATATCTCTGCCAGATGAGTACTAGGCATATCCTTATAATCCAAGGACCTGTTTTCTAGAGAGTCCAGTAGTGACTAAGAGTTGCTTTGGAGTCCCAGGAATGGAAATCACTTCAGCACAGTAAGGGACAGAAGCCTTTAGTAAAATTTTCTGGTACGTTTAGAAACAGGATCTAAATATTTTGGTGACTGAAATCTGTGCCTGTTTAGGGGAATAACTTATTTAATCTTCCATATGCTATCTTTTATGTAATTATTAGTTACCTATAATTATATAATCCACTGTCAGCAGATGACTATGCTGATGTTAGAAATAGCTCATTAAAGCATCTGTTTGGTGGAAAGAGTACACTTCTTTGATGTGTATCCCATTAGCACAAGCATCAGATTTCTGTTATCTTTTCAGAAATGTCATGTGGAAGTATTCCAAAAGTTGCCCATGCTCAATTTGAAGGCAGAAACAAGAAAACTTATGAGCCTGGAGAAACAATTCTCTACCGGTGTGATGCAGGGTTCCAGACTGTTGGTTCCCCCGAAATTATTTGCAGAGAAGGAAATTGGACAGCACCACCCTCCTGTGAAGGTATAGGTTCTGCTTCTAAGTAGTCCTTCTTAATATTTCATGTGATGATTTCAACTCGGGCATGCATTTGAGTCAGGCCAATAAAGCCAACAGGTGACTTGCTTTGAATGGTCTGTTAAAACACCTGTTTTTCTGGCTCCTGAGAAACAAAAAGCAGGGTTGATCAGCAAAGCAATCATTTCCTTGTGGGCTGAAGCTAATAGCCGAAACTTGGCTGTCTGCTGAAATCAAGCAGGTAAAGGGTTATGGAGGAATACATCTTGGCTGCAAGGGAGGACGAAACTAGTAGGGTAATGTATGTTATTTTCACATCACTAAAAATGTCAGTTGCTGACAGTTACCTTCAAATAGTAAATAAATCACATCAGCCTGTTGGTACACAATGCTGTACAGCACCAGTCTGCACAATTGGCTGATCTTTGTGACTTCTCTCTTTTTAGTCACTTTAGGCAAAAATAATATTGGGTGGTGAAGCATTGCAGAATAAAGACCAAAATATCTTCTTTTTCCACCTGTAGAAAGCGATCTGCACTACACAAACCCTTTTTTTGCTCATCAGGAGCTCCGGAATGCAATGTTCTGTGGTTCTTATATGGCTGGACTGCGGTACTTACATGCACCTCTCTTTTCAGTTATTCACTGTGGACCTGCACCTGAAATCCAAGATGGTAATATTGCAAGCACTCCACAGGAGAGGTATCTGCCCGATGCCACAGTGAATTATCAATGTGAAAGCAATTTTCAAATGATAGGTGACAGTTCCATCACTTGTATAAACGGTGAATGGTCACGAGCACCAGAGTGCAGAGGTAGGAATCTGTGCTTTCGCCTTGCCTGTTAGCATAGAGGGGACTATTTCTCTACCTAAACACTCTAAAGACTTCACCTTTTCTACTTCTGTTTTCTTGGGGTACCCCAACTTTGTACTTTCTATTGCTTGCTTGCACAGCACTTTAATTTAGCTTGATGCTTCTAGAAATACTGGGAATATTTCCATCAACAGCAAAACCATCTTGAAGCAGCAGGGCCAAAAATGTGTTGTACTGTCATTCTCCTGCATGTTATTGGTATTGCTCCAGTGTCCACTATTTCCACAGCCTTCAGTGGAAAGACACATAAGGGCTTCTGTCTTCTGTTCAAAGCTGTCAAGAAGCATCTGAATGGAGGCAGCAGTAGGGGAGAGAAACAACTGTTCTTCCCCAGGGCTCCCCTCTGACCAGTGCAGATCCCAGCAGAGACCCAGATCTAAACCATGTAAGGTCTGCTAGGGCCATGGAACAGGAAAGATTGTTCCTGTGACAAGGAACGGCGAGTAGCTGTGCTCCTGTCCCCTGCCCAAATCTGTGGCTGCAGGGTGAACAAGTGCTGCTTGGCTTTCACACACCTCCTTGGAGCTGGCTGCATTCACCCATCTCTGAGCAGCACAGGCTGACAAGCTCCTCCAGCGCTGCCAGTCCTCCAGAGCTCTGCAGTTCAGCACAGTGTCCGTTTGGCTCTTAACTCTGTGGTTTCCTGGAATGCCAGGGCTCCCTGGGGAGAGACATGGGCATGCAGGAAGGCTGGTGTGTCTTCTGTTACATTAAGTGTAGCTACGGAAATATTGTCTTTTTCTGGAAATTCTTATTGACCCTGCCATCTCCTGAGAGTCCCAGATAATGTTCTGCTGCCACTGTCACACCTCATTGCTTTCTCCATGGTGAACTCCTGTGACCCCCATGAGACAGAAACTCTGTACAGAAATTGTAACCAGGTTGATTCCTTTAACTTTTGGTTGTGCAGATGAGCATCTCAACGACTGCAAAGGTGACTGTAGCCATGTCTCTTTTCAGATACGAAATGTAGACCTCCTCCAGAAATAGCTGGTGGTAGAATTAATATGAAAAAGTCAAAGTATCTCCCTGGGGAGACTGCTACCTATGAGTGCTGGCAAGGTTTTAAGATGACTGGGACTTCCACAGTAGTGTGCCAGAATGGGATCTGGACAGAGTTGCCAAAGTGCAAAGGTAATTTCTCTCTCCCTCTATCTCTCCATACAGTAGCCTGTCAGAGATTCTGTAATGAGGCTGATTCAGTGGCATTTACTTTTCCAAATTTCAGTACCCTTATCGCCCACAATTGCAAAGTATATGGCACAATCAGGAAACAGTCATTTTCCCAGGAATCTATTCAGATGAGTTTACCAGCAGAGTGACCCAGTTGGCTTCACTCAAGAGGGCCAAATACCACACCGTTCTGCAGGACAAGATGAAGTCCTGCAGACAGCTGCAAGCACTTCAGCAGTGGTCAAACAGGGTGAACTGGCAGTTGTGAGCCTGAGGGCTGGAGAAATGAGAAACTCTTGCTCTGTTTCTCCTGCCAGGTACTTGATTTTCTCTCTGCTTTCCTCTGGTTCTCTTAGAGTAGTACCAGCATACTGTGGGATACTATTTGTGACCAGACCTCCACTGCAGTTAAACTCTCGTGGTTTTTGTCTCTGATTGGTAAATTTCTTTCAGGAAGAGGTCGGAAATGTGGCAAACCTTCAGGTATTGAAAGCGGAGAGATTCTTTCCACCCTCATGTCAGAATATGAACAAGATACAACTCTGGAATACAAATGCCCAGACTTCTATGTCTTGGAAGGATCTCAATATATCACTTGTACTGATGGCAAGTGGTCAAACCCCCCTGTTTGCCTAGGTAGGTTGAAGCATGTGCTGGGTGGTCAAAGGCTATGTGACTGCTAATCTCTTCTTTTTCTCAGACCCTGAAGGCAGCACTTGTGCAGCAACACTTGTGCTGGGGCTGCGATGCTGGCAGGGCAGAGCAGCAGTGAGTCCATCTTTTATCCCAAAAGAGTTTCTCTGAAAGTTAACTTGTGTTGTCCTTTCTGCTGCCAAGAGGTCTGCAAGGAGAGGAGTTTGGCTGAACCCTTTCTGTGAGGGGATCTCCATCTCTGTGCACAGCTCCTGAGTGTCCCCAAGCTGGGGACACTGCTACAGGCAGAAGACTGTTGAACAAGGAGGAGTGGTCTGAGTGCATGACAGTTCTGGGGACATCCAGGGGCGCATCTGTGACATGGTCATGAGAAAACAAATTTAGAGAGGTATAGAGCAGAAGGGAAGGAGGGATCTCAAAAAACACGTGGGCAAGTTCATTGCTGCCTGGTGCCTTCCCCACCTGTGCCTCGTTCTTGCCGTGTGACTGAAAAGGCTTCTCCATAGCTCTGTGTGGCATCTCAGCCATGGTCTTTTTTCCCTTTTAGGCTAGTTGTGAATGTCTTTTCTGTGGCAAGTAACAGAGGATGAGAGCAAATATCTGGAAGGATTTTTTCATGCAAAGAATTTCTGCAGGTTCTAGGGGATAAGCAGTGACCTGTGGTGTGTCTCTATGAAATGCTGACACTCTTCTCTTCAATTTTTCAAGTGGCCTGTACAGCATCAAAAGAAGATATGGACAGAAACAATATTGAGCTGAGATGGTCCCACAGAACCAAGCTGTATTCCATATCGGGTGACACTATTGAATTTCAGTGTAAACCAGGATATTTTGAGGAGCAAGGCATATCCTACAGAGTCAAGTGTGTGGAGGGGGTGATAGATTACCCGCGATGCACGTCGATAAGTAAGTCAACTCCTCTTCAGCCACAGCTTAGCTGCTTTGTTGTTGCATTTTCAGTGCTAAAGGGGAGCAAAAAGCCTTTCCCTTTCCTGGGGGAATGCTTGGGGACAAGCCAGAGCGCAGAAGCCTGTTGTAAGCTGCAGGCAGTGAGGGGCAGTGCTCCCAAGAAGCCATTGACCAGCATTCCTGAGCTGGAAAGACTGCTGGGGAAAGGGCACAGCGGTTTCACAGCATCAATTGTCCGGCGTGAGATCTACAGGCAAATAATGAAAGTCCTTTTTTTGCAGGGAACTGTATAGTGAATAGGAACCATATGGAAAGCAACAATATTCAGCTACGGTCAGGCCAATCAATAACTTCCACCTATCGCTCTGGGACTGAGATTTTCTTTGAATGCAAAAGAGGGTACCAGCGAGTTTCAAACCCTGGGAAATTTAGGGTACAGTGCCGGGATGGAGAGATTACATATCCTACATGTAGACGTAAGTGCACAGTGCTGATGGCACAGGGTGTAGGAGGCAGTTTCGATGAAATTGCTTGTCCACTGCTCTGAGGGGCCTCTGTGGTGCGTCAGGATTGGTATTCATGACTTTCTCCCTTTTTTGTCTTTACACTGCAGCGTCTTCTCCATAAATGGAAATGGCATGAAGGAGGCCAGCTGTGGAAATGAAAGAGCCCTCAGCCAACCCAGTGATTTGAGCTCAATTTTTCCTGGTGTTTCCCATTTTGCTGTGCTTTTTTTGCCTTGTTATATTATTTTTATTATTGGATGATTGTGTTTGCGTTATTATCCACATTTTATCAATTTTTGTAAATGTATTTACATTTCGTCCATCCAAATGGCTGTGCTTGCATTTTATCCATTCTATACTGATACCACTGTTATTTTACTAACAATTGTGTCCTGAAATAGGCTGGCTTTGGTGGCATACTGAGACAAGAATTAAAGCTTGTGGGTGATTTGATTATCAGCACGTGTTTGGCCTTGTCTGTTCCTATTTCCTTCTCCATGTGCTTGCCTGGAACCTACCCTGGGGTCACAGCTGAGGTGAGTATCCTACTCGGGATACTCCTGATCAGGAGGAGCAAGTAAGTGGAGCCCACAACTCCGTCTGCTCTTCACAAACAAGGACAAAGTGCTTGTGGTAACTGTGTACTAATGGGGTTCATGACTCAGAGAGGAGAGAGGAAAGCAAGTAACAGTACAAATCATGCACCCTAGGAGAACAGGATTTTGACTTTTTTAGGAAACTAGTAGGGAGTCAAAGAGGAGTCCAGAAAAGCTTAAAGTCTTGAAGGACAGAATCTTAGAAGCACAAGAATATTCAATTTTGCTCTTCACGAAGAAAAAACACATCTACCAGGACTGGCTTGATGAATCAGGGACTTCACATAGACCTCTGAAGTAGAAAAGAAATAAGTGTACTACACTAAAACAATAAATACAAAAAATGTGGTGTGTTGCTAAAAGGGATAGGTGACTCAGTGACAGCAGCCCCTCATGAAGCTTAAGTACTCAAAGCATTCTCTAACTTCAGCAACAAGATGCTGTCTTCATGTCTTGAGTCTGCTTCATCCTGCCCTCTGCTAACAGACACACATCCAGCCTATTCAGAGGAAGTGGAAGGTAAGGGTAAACAAATTCTTCTTCCAAAAGATGTTCCAGCAACTGACTTTTAATCCTTTTCCCTCTCTTTTGCCCAGCTTGTTCTTTAAAGAGAAGGGTATTCTTACATTTGGCAAATATTCTTATGTATCATTCAGAGCTTCTCAAAGGAAAGGAGTCTGGTCATCAGGCCCACCAACTTCATTACGTGAATCATTTTAAAGCCAATAAAAGTTGTTGAAACTTCACTGGGACACAAGCCTACCTCGGTTAAAACATGCCAGTCTGAAGCAGCACGTCCAACACTCAAAACTTGGACTGTTACAGGAATTGCTCTGATCCATGAATTTATACCAAGACCAAAGTCAGATTCCTCAGTTATGTACCACAGAAATGAGAACTTAATTGGAAAACAGAAATTAAAGTCTATACAGGGTTTTGATTAAATAAGTAGAATTTTTCTATTTCTCAAATGTTTTAATTTCTTATTTTATTTATTCATGTAACACTTGCAAAAACCTTGGAAACCCATACAGAACACCATTCATGCACTGATTTCACAGAGTTTGTCTCCATAAAAAAATAAAATACAGAAGAAAGCCTTAGAGTGTTTTTTTTATTAAAACCAGCTGAAATGGGTGCAAAGCAAACATTGTCCACATTCCTGAATTTTCTTCATTTCTTCAGTCACACATTCACAGGCAGAGCCTTAAGGATACCCATATTTAAGTGTCATAGGAAATCATACAAAGTAGTTGGATTAGATATTTTTTCTTAATTATTATTTTTAAAACAATATTTTAACTACTCGGTAAAATTTGCATATTATTACGTTTTAAATGGTTTTAAAGATCCCTTAAAGAATTTTTTTAATACTTTCTGCTTTATCTTGTTCCTCAACCCTTGTCCTTTAGGGGCTCCTTACCTGTGAAAGGAGACATGGGGTGCTGTTAAGATGTACAAAGTAAGAAGCCTCTCCTTTCTCACTGTAAAAGTACAGATAAACATCCATTTGAAGGGCATGAAATTAAATCTCAATTTAGGCATAATCTGTAGTCAGAAAATCACTTGTGCCATCAGTATCCTCACAAAGGGCACTGCTTTGCTCAGTGTCTTCTTGTCGTGGCTCAACAGATTGTGATGCATCCCCAAGTTGAGCACTGCAGGCCATGTAAAGCTCCTTCATCCTCAATTTTCCACGTGTATGCCAACCTTGCATCCTTCTGCTGTGTGGCTAATCCTCACAGCACAAAGCACTTTCACTTCCCTCCCCCTTCACCTCAGACCCAGCAATGACACTGAACACTCATTCCTCAACGCTGACTGTAGTGATCTTGAAAATATGGGCCATCTTAATTCAGCTACTAACAGTAGAAGAAGAACATGTGCATACCTTTCCTGTAGGCTTTCCTGGAGTCCAGCCTTATTTTCCTCTTTCAACACACCTCGGATATGTCAGCTGTCCTCTCTTACACTGTACTTGAAATAAAGTTGTACCAGATTCTGCTCCAAAATGGTTCTCTTTACAGTAAAATCCGACATAATCCCCATGGTAAAAGTAAACCTGATTTGCATAGAAGCCTTGCAGCAGCACATTATTTTTCTCCATTTCAGTTTTTGACAAAGTACATGGCTCTAAAGGAAGAGAGATGAAGACAGGACTTTTTAGTAGGGCCTGTAGCAATAAGACAGAAGGTAGTGATTTTAAATTAAATTCAACCTAGACATAAAGAAGACATTTTTACAGTGAAGGTGCTGAAACACTGGATCATCTTTCCCAGAGAGGTAGTTCACCATCCATGGAAACATTCTGTGTCAGGCTGGACAGGACTCTGAGCAACCTGATCCAGCTGAAGATGTCCCTGTCTTTGCAGGGGGGATGGACGAGATGGCCTTTACAGGTCTCTTCCAAAATGTTCTGTGTCTATGAATTATATAGAGAAATAGGAGCTGATTTATCTAATCACACTTACTTACCTATACAAATTGGTGGCAAAGTCCACTGCCCTTCAGAACAGTAGATTCTCTCAGATCCTTCCAAGAAATGATAGTCAGAGCAGCTATACTGAACTGAAGAACCACTGTCATACTGGGTCAGTGGTGGGAGAGTAAGAGCTCCATTTGCAATAGATGGTGGAGAGTCACATTTTTCTGTAGGAGCTGGAATAATGCAAAAAACAATTGAGAAACATTCAGCATAAGAAACTAACAAATCAGCAGCTTTATCATAAATTATGGGCACACAAAGGATTTCTTTTTATAGCTGTCTTTCTACAAAGCTTCCAGTTCTCTGGGCTTGGAGAAGAGTTTTCCACTCCTTTCCACAGCCTTGCCCATCACAGGAATGTGTATCATTTTTCCACATTTGGATGTATTAAACAACACAGTTGTCCTGTGCAAGATACCATCTGTGCATATCTGTGTTGTTGAAACCTAAACATTCATTTACAACAGACTGTAGGCCTGCACTGCCAAAGCAAATTGTTTCTAAACAGACTTAAGACTGATTAATTAAAAAGGAAGGCAATCAAAAATTACTGGTTTACCTTGCATAACGCATTTTGGATATTTCAGTCTGCCGTGGTCACACTGTGTCCTCCCAGGAGATGGAATGATAGTGTGGAGAAAATTATATCCCTGTTTACATTCAAATTCTACGAGATCTCCGTGTAGGAAAATTAACTCTTCCTGTCTCCATTTCAACTTTATGTTGTTGCTGTCCATATCAGTTACATTAAGCGTGCATGGTTCTAGGAAATAAAAGTGTATTTTAATTAAAAACAAAAAAACACCAAACCACAAAAACAAACAAACAAACAAAAAAACCCCAAACAAACATGCAAAAGGAAGTCTAAACTGGGACCAGTAAATCATGGAAAACATAAGCTTATGACAAAATTTGTATTTTGTAAAGATATGGCAGCATAGGTTTACCATTGAAAAAAAAAAGAGCTTCTTTACTGTAACTTGAAAGAACTTTTTATATGAAAAGAGTCATCCATCAAAATTAACCTGTCAGATTTGACTTACTTACACAGTAAGCTTACAATGCTACCCTAAAGAAGTGTTTTGACAATTCTCTTTTCTTTGCTTGTTAATTTGTTTTGTCTCTGTGAAAAGAAAGAATTTAGCGATCTTCCAAAAATATTTTGGAAGTTTTGTGTTCTGCCTTGGGCTTTTTCACATTATTCAAGGCCAATATTGTTCTGGATACTTTCTGACAGGTTTCTTAAAACTTAGTGCCAGGATCACATCAGGGAGCCCAGCTTCCCATTAGATGGTTAACCTCATTAACTTCTGAAACCACTTCAATCAAGCCTGACAGAGGGTCACTTATCAAAATAAATTTCTACAGGTTCCATGAGAATCACTGGCTGATGGAGGCTCTTACTAAGGCTTTGCTGAGGAAAAGGCAGGGAGAACTCAGCTATTGGGCGGTCTGGTGACTGCACTGAAAAAATAAATTCGTATGGGTATTTTCCTGAACCTAACTACAGTGTGTGCTCTTCCTGGTCTGATTAGGTGAGGGTTGAAAAGAAATCTCAGAAAACACGGAAAGGAAGATGTGGTTATCTGGATGCTTAGGAGAAAAATAAGGCTCGTGGGATTTCATTATTTCACAGGATTTGTTAAATTTCAATCCAGACAAGGAAAATTTTATTCTTTTAGAAATAAGTAATTAAACCTGAACTGGTTGTTTATTTTCATTTTCACAGTAGATTACAAATTTAAAACTGAGCCAATTTAACAAAGGATGTTAGTAAAATAGAATTATTTCATTACAGGAAGGAAGGAAAGACAAACAAACAACTCTTGTATGTCACCAGAAACAGTATTCCTGCTAGCACTGGTAGATTTCTGGTGGGAGTTCTAGACATTGTTTTGAACAGAACTGAAAGACAGAAAGAAATGAACTGAATGGAGAATATGGAAGAAAGAAACTGGAGAATCCTCCAAGGTAACAGGGATAGCTGTGTTCTAGAAAAGCTCACTCAGGAAAACAGAGGAATCTATTTTAAAGGGGGGTTTTAAGAACAGGCCAGAGGACACCTAGCAGGAGACACCTCAGTTCATCCCTATATTTCTGGAATTTTTATTAACCCAAATAAAAGAAAAAAGGCAGTAATGAAAAGATTATTTAGAGGTTCTTTCCAGTTATCCATTTCTATATTTCTATAAGACAAAATTCTTACAAGACTCACCTAAACAGTTTGGTTGTTCTGTCCAGTTTCCTTGATCACAGTAAACAGTCCTAGGTCCATCCAAAAAGTGATAACGCTGACAACCATATTCTACTGAGGAACCATTTTTGTAACTTGCCAATACTGGACCAAGAACAGCACCATTTTTAATCACAGGTGGAGAGGTACAGTCTTGTTGCATTTCTGTTATGAGGTAGGAAGATAGGCAATTAGATCTTGGTTGGATTAGAACAGTGTTAACACTGGTAAAAGTATTAAACCAGTACTGGACTGAGCAAAAAAATTGCATACAAGTAAAATATAAACCAATATAATTTCTTTTCCAAATTTCATTTTCAATGTCTAAACTTGTGCTACTGAATTACAGACAAGCATTTTATTTCCCTCTACATGATTCATTTATGTCTGCTTTTGACTCTTTCTGATTTACACTCAATTGAGATTAGTTCTTTTCCTGTAATGAGACCATCTATTTGTTACTTGAAATGTTTCACCCATGTGTGGTTCAAAATGAACAAAAGAAACCTCACTGGAACTGTTAATCAAAGGAACATCAAATTTGCATGTTCAAATAATATTAATGGAAAAAAAATTAATGAAATCAAATGCTGATGTATGAAATAAAATTACAAATACAGAACAGTCTTATTGCGGTTTACAATCATTACAAACAAGCAACAAATTAGTTGAGACTGCTACACTGACATCTGTAGCACATGCAAGCATTTTCAAGAGCAAAGAATTGTCCTATAGCAAAAGAGTAGTGACAGTAATCATAAAATGCCTATAATAGCATTGGAGAGTCCATTTTGAATAGAAAAGCAATGTTCACCTACTCATATCTTCATTGCCATATGTTTTGTTTGCCCTTATTGCTGCATCTGACTTGAGAAATGGTGGGGCCTCAGACTCCTGTTTATCCATAGTTCCTGTAACCATAGCAGAAACACAGAACCAGTTTTCTCAGAAACAACTCATTTTCAAGTGCTAAAACAGACAGACACTGATGCCTTGTAAAATGAAATGATCCAGATCTTCCAGGGAGGTTGTCACAGATGTCAGATGAATTCACTTAGCTCATCCTTTCCCTGTAACCTGGGAACAACAGATTGACTGCAAAATATGCAGCACTTTGTTTTCCTCTGTTAAAAGGCTTGAGAGGTAAACAGTTTTGCAGAAATTAAAGCACTGCTTGAAGAATCATTTCTGTTCAGTTTTCAGTCTTTTGCAGAAGTACTAACCAACACAAATAGGGGGTGGTGTCCATTTTCCTTCTTCACACTGGATTTCCTCAGATCCTCTTATTTCAAAGGTCCTTTGGCACTGTATATGAACTTTGTCTCCATTATGATATGTTCTGCTGACTGTGGTGATATGGCCATGAGGAGGAAGTGGGGGCGGAGGACATTTATTTTTTACATCTGAAAATAAAAAGTGCATATTCTTTTCTCACCAAAACCATATACACAATCAAGTTTACTATACACCATGCAAACCAATCACTCAAATGGCATTTTTGACTGATCCAGAGTAAGTTCTTACTCTCATTTTCTTAATAAAATGGGAGACCAGACCAAAAAGTGATTTTATGCTCAACAAATATAAAATAGAGGTACTACGCTATTGTACTGCTATAAACAAATTTGTAATTTCTCTGCATAGACTTAATAAAACGTTCTTTAAAGGACTTCAGGAAATAGAGATTTCCCTTACCCTCCATTCATATAATATTTAAAGTAGGTTATGTATTAATTCTAATGCTACAGAAGCAGCAATAATCATAGCCCATTTCCTATCCCCAAATTAAGTTTGCAATTACTGTATCCTCAAAACTAGATTTAGGCCTTGTTTTCATCCTCCTGAGCATCCCCACCTTCTCTGCACTCACTCATGAAAAGTTCCTGCTGTGTCATCAGAATAAATACAGGGCTGGAGTCTAAGCTACTCTAAATGTTGATTTATACTGCTTTCTGCTCTATATCTCATCTGGTTTACTAGATCTTTCATTCTTTTGCAAGTTTCTTTTCTGAGAGTCCATTATCCCCCAATGACTGGAGAAGTGATAGCAATTGCTAAAGGTGTGTTTCTGTGCTCAATTCTGTTGAAAACATGCAAAGTTCAATGAGGCTGTACAACTCTGAAAAGTACCACAAGCTAAGGAGGAACTTGTTATAAATTTTATTTTTAATGCCTTTTTAGAGGCACATTCCCATCCCAAAAGGCAGGAATAAGCATGCTTGGTTAAACCTTCATGTAATCTAAACACAGTTAAGGGAGCTTCAGGCCTAATAAATTCCCTGTAATTGTTGATTCCTGCTTCTCCAGGATATAACAAAGAAACAACAGTGAGAGGCAGTATCTGCTGAGTTGTTAGAGTCCACTGAAAAGTAGTTCCAGTTATCACTACCTCCCTTCCTGCTACCTTGGCTCCCTGCCTTTTGGTCAACACTTGGTTTATATTTAGGCTATGAACTGGTACAAAACCCGTATTTTTATTTTGGATTCATAAAGCATCTCATGAAAGAAGGTGTTAGTTTTTCATTGTAAAACTATAAAAATAAGATACCTTCACACACCGGAGGGTCTGGATGCCACCCAAAATAATAACATTGAATTAAGTCAGATTCAGTGACAGAATAATGTTTGTCACAGAAGAAGTGAACTACATCTCCCTCTTCATAGATTTTCTTCACAGGATAGAAACCTCCATGAGCTACTGCACTCAAAGAGGAGCAAGTTACTCCTAGGAAGAAAACACAGCAGTGAAAAACAGCTCAGGAAGGCTTCCCCCTTTCCACCTCCAGCGGCTGATTAAAATAAGTCTCTTTGCAGGCTTTTGTCGACTTGCAGAATAAATCCCATTTCAGACCGAATTATTTTGCAGGCTGCAATTACGTACTCGTGCAGTTCGGAGTGAGGGACCACCCGTGCGTCAGACACGCCGCTGCCTCTTTGGCTTTCCCTCCCGCCGTACGATACCCCTCCTCACACTGGTACAGCAGCGTCTCGTTCACTCGAAGCTCCTTCTGGACTGTGAAGTAGCTGCCGTGACGTAACTCGGGTACTTGACATGACTCTTAAATAAATAAAGCGTATGCGTGATATTACCTGCTCTCTTCGTTTCAAGTTTTTCTGAGATGCACTTCAAAAGTGGCCATATCCCATGCAAAATCTTGGCAAATAGTAACTACAAACGCAGTTGTTTACACAAGTTTTCCAGTCACCATTTGGAAAGAAAGTTTGTATGGCAACGGATTTATTTGAAACAATGTGATTGCATCTATACTGATTCCTTCCACATAATAATAGTATCTAAACAAATTCACAAAACTAGCAGCATGTGAAATCTGACAGCTTCTTTCCATAAGGTGCAGCTGAGAACTTGCTTTAGGAGTGCTCAAATAACAACCTGACATAGGCAGTTTGACCCTACAGCAAGGACAGTGGAACTATATGCACCTACAACTGATTATAAACGAGAAAAAAATGCAAAATCCTACCGAATTTTTCAGTACAGCGTGGCTGGAGGGACCATCCTTCTGGCTGACACTGTACTGTGTCTTCAGTACCACCACTTGGAGTGTGATAGCCTGGATTACATTTGTATTGCAATTTCTCATGGATTTTGAAGTACATTTCTGTGTCATAAAAAAAGCCATTTTCCAAAAGAGGCTTGCTACATTTTCCTGAATGAAAGAAAACAGCAGAAAGAAAGAATCTTTCTTCTCTGGTAAGCAAAAGGAGGGTTTTCTAGCTATACTGATCTGGTCTTGTTCTCTTGACCTGTTGAAGAAACTCTGATATCATCATCAAACAAAACATCAAACCATTGGTAATAACACGGAATATGACCAAGGAATCTAGAGGTAGGAAAGCCTTGAGAGGATATATATCTAAGAGAAAACTATTTATTGGTTTTCCAAAACTGAGGAAACTGGGCAATTTTCTTGATGTTCTTATAAGACACAAATGGTTAAAAGCCCTTAAAATATACATTGTTGTAAAAATATTCCATATATAACTTCTGTGGTTCGTATACACAAAGGTTTGATTTCACCTTGTCCTAGCTTTTGCATTTTATCCCTTCTGGTATGTGGCTTCTGTTCCTGTATTTTTCTGGAAAACCAGCAAGAAAATTTTCCTGCTAGAAGCACAAGGAGATGAATAAAGCTAACTCACTGTAGCATCGTGGCACTGGAGACCATCCTTTTGCTGTACAAGTTATTCTTCCATCTTGAGTCCCAGTTTCAGTTGTATAACCAACCATACAGGAATAGGAAAGCTTTTTGTCTTTACGCATAGGGAAATAATAACTTTTGAAACTGTAATAGTACTGGGCAATCTTCCCATTTTCTATATGTGGCAAGTCACAAGGTTTACCTGAGAAAAGATAAATATATTTCTCACTAAATATTTCAACCCAGATATTAAATAAATTAATGCAAAAACATTCATATTAGTTTGACTGATTCAGGCTTTCAAACAAGGAGAATGAAATTCTGAATACTTATAAGGAGTCTTTTAAGACTTGATGAAGTTAAGATATATTACCGTTTTATCACCTTTTGTTTTTTAGGTTCACAGGAATATCAGGCTTAGATTGAAACTTCCTAATTTGAACTGGGCAAAACTGATGCAGGACACATTTATTTTACTCTTTATTTCATCCAGAAGCATGAGAATCCTTGGCTGCACAAACATACCAATGCCTACTGCAAAATCCAGTGAGAGCAGTGTCGAGACAATACAGGAGTTAAACACACTTAAGAAAGGGAATTTAAGAACAATCAAGAGAAAAGAAAGAAGTGGAGAGTAAGCAAAGAACAAGCAAAATGGCAATTAAAAAACCCCCAAACCAGTAACAGGAGAAAACCTATAAAAAGAACAGTGCTGAGTTACTTAAGAAAACCAAAATAATGAAACCAAAGCAACCAAACAACAAAAACTAAAACAAACAAATGAAACCTCCCACCAACCAGAAAAGAAACTGACAAATAAAAAAGAAAAAAGCAAAACTTATGGATTTCTTAAAATTTTATCCTCTGGGTCTCAAAAATTCTCTCCAAGGCAATATAAAGAATTCAGTTTTTAAAACCTGATTTGCCACCTATGAATCTCATTGTAATTGAGCAGAGTTTTCCCACAAGTTCCCACTGCTGCACTCACCTGACATATTAGAACCAAAATAAAACACTATTGCTCCCTCACTCAATGCCAGTAGAATTTACTACATTTACTAGAATTTTCTGCAAATATAGTGATTTTAATAAATAGTAAGTACCCAGATAGTTTTTTTTAATAATTACTTTCCTCACACAGCCATAGCATCACATCTAAATAAAAAAACAAAACAGAAACCTAACCTGAGGGTAATTATGATCTGCACATAATTAAGACAGACATGGTTACTACCTCCATACCTTTTGACCTTCCAAAGGGCATCAGTGTAATTTCAACTGCTATGCATAAGGACAAAAGTCTGGTGAAGAGAGGTAGTTGCAACAAATATGTTGGAGTCAAATATCCATTACCAGAAAGAAAATGAAATGCAAAAAAAAGGGATACCTTTTGAATTAATAGAGGTGTACCCTCATACAGTCCAGTGCTTTGTGAGTTTGCAGTTCAAGTGGCATGCAAACTATACAAACCCAGGAATTCTAATCAATGCTGAAAATAGGGATAGGAAATGTAGAACCACCCCAAATTAACTTCTGCATGTTCCATTTAACTTCCCCCGTTTTGCTTTGTGGCAAAGGGAAAACACTTCAATCACCCAGACACTTTAATATACAAAATGTTTTAATAGTACAGAATGCAGTTTTTGTTAGTGCCTCAGAACAGCTCAAAGACATTTCAAAAGAAACCTCTTCTAAACTAAAGTCTGAACCTTTCACTCTTACAGCTTTGAAGCTTAGACAGGAATCAGCGACAGCTGAATTGTGATCATCAGCCACCTCACAACAGAATTATATACACATTTAAAAAGCAGTGTTTACTCAGTAAGGAGATGAAGGATAATGCACTTAAGTTACCTAGACTGCATATTCTAGATTCAGTGTACTTTTAATAACAATAGAATTCAGTGTATTTACCTTCTGCAAAGAGTTTGCCTGAACACATCGTAACTAGGAAGAAAAAACAGCTTTTAAATCTCATCTTCTTTACTGTCTCTATCAACAGTTTCCACTACCTGTGAAAATTCTCCAAGTATTACTTTTGTAAATAATTAACTGGATTTTCAAAGGTATTCAGCAAATACCTTAGTGTCTATGGTATTTTGCAACAAGTTAATTAATTGAAAAAACAATTTTCATTTATATTAGTTCTCCAAATACAGTAACACTAGACTTGCAGGATTTTACTTCCACTTGACATGGTTTACCATCAGCAAAGAGGGCAGAATTTATCATTTTACAGTGAAATCAGGCAATAAACTTATGGAACAATTTAAACTTATTGAACACTGTTCCCCTCACAACCTCCTGAGTTTAAAGGGCATTCTGTTATCAGATTGTTTACCTTGGCTGAAATAAGAGGAATTAGACAATTCCCCCATCCTCCAGCCTACCCACCTGATAAACCAGTCAATTGCATTCTATAGATATTATTAATTCTGGAGTCTCTTCCATTAAGAACATAGCCACTATAATTATCTGTCTCTTGAGTTTTGTTGTACACAGCTAGCCTTTTTCAAGTATTTTTTAAAACAAACAAACAAAAATTTAACCTCATTTACAATGCATTATCACATGACTGATTAATGGCATCATTAGAGATACAATGCTTAAATTTGGGAGTGAGAGTGTATAATTTTACACTTTGCATTTTCATAGCCTTTCTCTCTAAGAAAATACAATTCCAAGGCAGAAGAGAACAGAATTAACAGGGAGTTGTGATGAACACCATCTCTTCAGCCAGATGAGATGCATACTTGTATGTTGTGCATGATGTTCACTTGATAGGGAAGAAAGAACTCACAAATCACCTCCCTTAAAATATCAAGTCAGAATTTCTAAATTCACCCTTACAACATCCTGTTGTTCCATCACAATCTCGCAATGTTGGTTTTTTTTTAAAAAGAGGAATTATAATTTTTTTCCTGCTGTCATACATGATCCCTCAAAACCTATTAGAAAGTAGACTCAAGCTCACCCAAAACAGTTTTAAAATCCTGTGCCTGTGCATCCCTGCTTACCTATATGTCTCTAGATCTGACATTACTGTCCCACACAAACAACTGTTTTTAATAGAATTCTACAATACTTATTCAGAGAGTGAAGAATCCCACGCTATTTGTAATATCCACAGTTGTGTAACAATGTATTATTGCACTAATGAAATTTCCAGTAAAAGCCAGTGAAATTATTTTATTGTACAATTGGTTTTGGTAGTACAAAACAGGGTTTCAAAACTGTATACAATACAAAGAGTTACCAAAATATGAATTGCAATTCGAAAATACATTTTCGAGAAAATACAATTTCCAAAGACAGCTTGACACTTAGATTTGCTTTCCTTAAAAATCATTTAGCCAACTACTAACACATACATACTGTACAAATACATCTTCCTATACATCATTTACATTTCAGTAGCAGGCAATACCAAGTGTGTCCATCACCATCAGAATTGCTTGCAGAGGATCCACGATTTCTCTCATGTTATCTTTCCTCAAGACCCAGTCCGGTTTAATTCTGTGAAAACATTAGTGGCTTTTGTCAGTAAAATATTACATTGCCTCAGCAGAAACAGAAGACTAAATTTTTAAGCACTTACTTTGAAACTGTTTTTATTCTTAGAGGAGTTACTGGAACAGAACAACTTCCACCTAAGGCAGTGTTTGTTTTCTGTTTCACAAGTGTTCTCTCTGCATCCATTCTGTGTTTCCGAGCTGTGAGTTTATACAGGCTTTGAATGCAAGGAACAGTTCTTGGCATGCCTCGGATTTCCTGAGAAGAGATGACAACAGCACACAGTTAATACCACAAGTTCAAAAGCAGCTTAACACATCAAGAAAATACAAGTGTTTTCACCATCATGGAAAAGCTTTTTTTTTTTTTTTTAAATCAGAGTTTAGTCATAATAGCCCTAATAGATATGGCAGAGAGGGAAAAAAAAATAATTACAAATACCACCAAAAATATGTAAGAAAAGCATGTTAAATCAAACCATTAAACCCACAGCATTTAAGTCTTACCAAAGCTCTTTTTGAGTCCTTTGAAAGGATGGCCAACAAACAACAGGTCTTTGTGAAAATGCTTCCTCCTTTCTCTGAAACTTTGTCCCCAGCTTTCCCTCTGTACGTTTGCAGTAGGTCTAGTAAAGTATCTATAGAATTTTCTGCTTCATAAACTGCTTGAGTAGTTCTTTCATACTGTTATATAAAAAAGAGACAAGAGAACTTCTATAGACAGACCTCTAAAACATCTTTTTAGAAGTTAATAGTTAGATGTTAGAGAAAAAAGCAAAGTTCATATTCTGCCCTAGAAAAAATTTGTAGTTAATCTGGCATCCAAGCAATAAAAATCACTTCTGTACGTTACACAGTTGTAACAGGTTATAAAAAGGTACCTTTCCCAAGTACTACAATAAAGTGCCTACTGCTTATAACCCTGCAAAAGAAAATATTAAAGTTACCTTTGAAACATTAAGTAGAACCTGAACTGAATATCTGATCACATCCATGCATGGAACGCTCCGGTTGCAACTTCGAATCAGAACAAAAATACTGAAGATGGCTCTGCTCTGGGCCATATTTTCACAACACAGTGAGGACAACCTGGTAGCCACCTCTATGGCAATTAAAGGGAAAAAAAAGTAAAGAAAAATCTGAAGTTCAAGCAATTGAACTGCAAACAAAGATTTTCTCTATTTTTAGGTAGAAGTGCAAGGAAATAAAAACTGCAATTATTGATTTAAAGAAGTATTTCTAAACCAATAGTTTTAATGTTCCAGACTAAAAACTATGCAGACAAAATGATCCACAGAAAACATACACTGATAGTAAACATAATAATAAACTTATGTAAGGTATAGCATTACTAGGACTGACAGGAAAGTAGAGCAATCATAGAGGATTTCCTTTTCTACATAGCCATTTAAATATTGTTCTGAAATCAATAATCTAATTTCAGTCTGGAAAAAAACCCCATTATAGTCTTGAACATGTTCACATTTTAGAATCATGCAGAAATATCATTATGAACTCTTCTCAGCTGAAAAGCTCTACTGCCTATCATCCTGGAAGTCAATCAGTTATAATAAGACAAAATACTGACCAAGATGATTTAATGCTGCAAGAATGTAAGAGAGATGTTTGTATTTTAGAAGGTATTCAATTGCAGTTGCAGTTCTGTTGCACAATTTGTTTTCTTCTCTGCTCTTTTTGTTAGCCTTTTCTAAACTGCGCCTTAAAGCTTTAGTTTTTGCTGTGTCATTAGTTTTTCTCCAAGAATATCCTCTCCACAATGCCTACAAAAAAGGAATTTCCCAAAAAGAAAAAAGTTATAAACAGGAGACAATACAAGAGAATTCCATTACCACTTCAATCAGTTTTACACAAGTCTGACAAAGTATTTGAATCTTGGGTATTAAAATTTATGCAATTACCACTCAGTGTTTAATCTTCAAATACTGGACTTTCAAGACAAAAGGCAAAAAAACCCTGTTTATATACACTCCACACACATTCCCACCAAAGTCACTGCAAACTGCATCTGCTTAATATTACTTAATAATCTGTTTTACTTTAGCTTTCATGTCTAAACAGAAGCTTGCAATTTAACTGATAAATTCATCAACCAAAGTAAACGTTTTTCCTCTCCCCCAAAACCCACAGGAGAAAAATCAGAAGACAAAAATAAGAATTACAAAAGTGTCATTTTCTTACAAGAGGTATTTACCTGAAATTTAATGATTCCAACTGCAAATTTTCTCCTACGTCTGCAAGCAAGGAATCTTTGCACATTTCGCTGGATTATGGTTGCTGCATCGTGTCTGTGATTTAGCCAGCCTCGAACTGCACGTTGTAATAGAATGATTCTTCGATAATCTCTCAGAAATCTCTTCCGTTGCATTTTTGCTCGGAACCATCTCTGTGTAAAATTAAAGTATCTTTTGTTTGTTTGTTTGTTTATTACTTTCCCCCTAAATTCCCTTTTCCTATTCTAAATGAGCATTGATAAAAACTGAGGAAGTGTTTTAACATGACCTTTGACAGACATAGGCACTATAAATATCCCTAGCACACATATAACATCTATGACTCTCATTGGCCTTGGGGTAGCTGAAATGCAAGACTTCAGAATGAAATCTCAACTAGGAGCTGTCAGGGAAGCATTCTGAGGAGAGAAAGGTAGAGAAGAAAAGGCAGAGAAGGGGATAGTTGGAATTGGTTTCAGTTGGAAGGGACCTACAATGATCATCTAGGCCATCTGCCTGCCAACTGCAGGGCTGACCTGTACGTTATTAAGGGCAGTGTCCAAATGCCTCTTAAACACTGACATGCTTGGGGCATCAGCCACCTCTCTAGGCAGACTGTTCTGGTGTTTGATCACCCCCTCAGTAAAGAAATGCTTCCTAACGTGCAATCTAAACCTCCCCTGGTGCAGCTTTGAACTAATTCCATGTGTCCTATCACTACATTACAGGGAGAAGAGATCAGCACCTCACCTCTCCACTTCCCCTCCTCAGGAAGCTGAGGAGAGCAATAAGGTCAGCCGTCTTTTCTCCAAACTAGATAAATGCAAAGTTCTGAGCTGCTCCTCAGAGGCCATGTCTTCCAGCCCTTTCCCCAGCTTCATTGTCCTCCTCTAGATGCATTTGAGCACCTTCACATCCTTCTTTACCGAAGAACTGCACGCAGTGCCCAGGTGAGGTCACACCATCACTGCACACAGCGGGGCAATCAGCTCCTCTGAGGGAGCTATGCCTGATGCACCCCGCGATGGGGTTTGTCCTCCGGGCTGCCAGGGCACACACACACTGAGCTGCTGTCAACCAGACTCCCCAGATCCCTCTCTGAAGAGCTGCTCTCCAGCCACTCCTCTCCCAGTTTATAATTGTGTCCAGCATCACTATGACCTAGGAGCTTTCTTTTCCTTGGCTGCCTTTTAAAAACACCACTCCACTTCTCTCATTTCCCAGCTCTGTTTCTTCCCTTCTATATAAAGAAGGGAGACAGGGTACTCTGTGCCAAATCTTCCACCCATTTTCTCTTGCCTTAAAGGGAAAATATAACTTATGGAGAGAGATAACAGATTTGTATATATGGAGCAGTGGAGGGGCAAAGTTTGTCATAAGATTCTAGACCAGAGAACAGCTATTTCAGGGTTCCCATTTCAGCCTCTCCATTTAACCAATGTTAACCTTCCATTAGTGGAACTATGCTGATGGTCAGTTTGGAGACATGAAGATAATTTTTACAATTAGGTAGTGCTACAATACAGACCTGATTTTTGACCTTGTTTTTAGATAAGTAAAACATGGTTATATTAAAACGCTGCAACAGGCTTTGGTACCCCTAGAAGATTAGAAACATCCAACCAAATAAATCACTGTATCCCAGGGGATTGTTCATGTAAAAAGCTGCTCTACATATCCCAAACTTTACAGGTTGTTTTGTCTGATCTTTCCTATTTCCAGTAGGAAGTAAAGAAGTAGGTTAAGACAGCACTTGGATTCCTTTAGTAAGCCTTAGGGTCTGAAGGAAACAAATTTGCCCATCCATCCTTAGCTTTAAAGTGCTGCAGAACTTGCTGAGACCCACCCTATTATGCTTAGCTTGGTATAAGCATCATTATTTAATAATAATTATTTAATAACTCCATAATTTAGCTTTATTTTCAGTGCAAAGGAACTACAGTGTCTTAGTGTTACAGCTTCGCTCACAGAAAAGAAATTAGACTACATTACACAAAATCATTTGGCCTCAGACTAACCTGTATTATAAGAACAGATGAGATCTGGTTTTGTGCAAGTTTTAAGGTGAGATGAATCCTATATGCCCTTTGAATTTTAATTGCAGAGAGATGATGATATGCAGCTGCTGTAAAACGAAGTAGTCTTTTTTTTTGTTTCTGTTCTGAAATCTGTAGAAGAAAAAAAAAAACAAGGAACAGCATTAGTTTTTTGTACTCTGAGGTAGTTGATTGCCTATACAAAGAACATATAAGACAGTCATATACTATTAGATGCTGGAAAATTTCCTTTGGAAGTCATTGGAGTTTCCTTTGGAGTCATTTGGAGGGCTTTAAACTAGGTTTGAAGGGGGAAGGGGTTGGAACCAGGCTCTCCAGTGATCAGCCTAAGGATGGAAAGCCTGAGTTAAGAATTAAATCAACAGCCCACCTGAAGTGCATGTACACTAATGCACGCAGTATGGGCAACAAACAAGAGGAGCTGGAGGCAATTGTGCAGCAGGAAGGCTATGATGTAGTCGCCATCACAGAAACATGGTGGGATGACTCGCATGTCTGGAGTGCTGCTATGGAAGGCTATAAGCTCTTCAGGAAGAACAGGCAGGGGAGGAGAGGTGGAGGGGTGGCTTTATATGTTAGAGACTCTCTGGACCCTGTTGAACTTGAGGTCAGCAACAATAAGGTTGAGTGCCTGTGGACCAGAATCAGGGGGAAGACCAACAAGGCTGACATCATCATGGGTGTCTGTTACAGACCGCCCTACCAGGATGATGAAGGGGATGAATTATTCTACAAGCAGCTGGCGGATGTCTCAAAATTGTCAGCCCTTGTCCTTGTAGGTGACTTTAACCTGCCGGATATCTGCTGGGAGCTCAATACTGCAGAGAAGAGGCAGTCTAGGAATTTCCTGGAGTGTATAGAGGACAATTTCCTTCATCAACTGGTAAATGAACCTACCAGGGGTAAGGCCCCGCTAGACCTGCTGTTTACAAACAGAGAGGAGCTGGTGGGAGATATAGTGGTTGAAGGCCGCCTAGGAAATAGTGATCATGAAATAATAGAATTTTCAATACTCAGAGATTCAAGGAGAAACAACAATAAAACCTCTACGCTGGACTTTCGGAGGGCAGATTTTGACCTATTCAGAAGTCTAGTCCAGAGCATACCCTGGGAAACAACCCTTGAAAACAAGGGAGTCCAGGAGGGATGGATGTGCTTCAAACAGGAAGTTTTGAGTGCACAGGAACAGGCCATACCGGTGTGCCGAAAGGCAAGCCGGCGGGGAAGACAACCAGCCTGGTTAAACAGGGAGATTCTGAAGGAAATCAGGGATAAAAAGAGAGTTTATCGACTATGGAAGAGAGGGTTGGCTACTTACGAAGAATTCAGGAAGACAGCTAGATCATGCAGAAAGAAAATCAGGGATACAAAAGCGCAATTTGAAGTTAAATTGGCCACTTCTGTTAGGGATAACAAAAAGTCCTTCTATAAATACATTAATAACAAAAGGAGGGGCAAAGAAAACCTCCATTCTTTGATAGACTCGGAGGGAAACATAGTTAATAGAGATGAGGAAAAGGCTGAGGTACTTAACACCTACTTTGCCTCAGTTTTTACCAGTAAGACAGGTGGCCCTCAAGGCAACTGGCCTCTGGAGCTGGTAGACAGAGAGAGGAAACCAAATAGCCCCCTGTATTCCAGGAGGAAATAGTGACTTACTGAGCCACCTGGATCCTCACAAGTCTATGGGACCAGATGGGATCCATCCTAGGGTAATGAGGGAGCTGGCAGAAGAGCTTGCCAAGCCGCTCTCCATTATCTTCCAACAGTCCTGGCTCACTGGGGAGGTCCCACATGATTGGAAGTTGGCAAATATCACCCCAATCCATAAAAAGGCTGCAAGGCTGACCCTGGTAACTACAGGCCTGTCAGCCTGACCTCGGTGCCTGGCAGAGTTATGGAACAGATCATCCTGTGTGCAATCACACAGCACCTACAAGATGGACAAGGAATCAGACCCAGCCAGCACGGGTTTAGGAGAGGCAGATCCTGTTTGACCAACCTGATCTCCTTTTACGATCAGGTGACTCACCTGGTGGACGAGGGGAAGGCTGTGGATGTGGTCTATCTGGACTTCAGCAAAGCCTTTGATACTGTCTCCCATAAGATACTCCTGGAAAAGCTGGCAGCTCATGGCTTGGACAGGGGCACTCTGTGCTGGGTTAGGAACTGGTTGGAGGGCCGGGCCCAAAGAGTGCTGGTGAACGGGGCTGCCTCCAGCTGGCGGCCGGTCACCAGTGGTGTCCCCCAGGGATCAGTGCTGGGCCCAGTCCTGTTTAACATCTTTATCGATGACCTAGATGAGGGGATTGAGTCCATCATCAGCAAATTTGCTGATGACACCAAGTTGGGAGGGAGTGTCAACCTACCAGAAGGCAGGAGGGCTCTGCAGAGGGACCTGGATAGACTGGAGAGATGGGCTGACTCCAATGGGATGAAGTTCAACAAGGCCAAGTGCCGGGTCCTGCACTTTGGCCACAACAACCCCCTGCAGCGCTACAGGCTGGGGACAGAGTGGTTGGAGAGCAGCCAGGTGGAAAGGGACCTGGGGGTTTGGATTGACAGGAAGCTGAACATGAGCCAGCAGTGTGCCCAGGTGGCCAAGAAGGCCAATGGCATCCTGGCCTGCATCAAGAACAGTGTGGCCAGCAGGAGCAGGCAAGTGATCCTTCCCCTGTACTCTGCGTTGGTGAGGCCGCACCTTGAGTATTGTGTTCAGCTCTGGGCCCCTCAGTTCAGGAAGGATATTGAGGTGCTGGAGCGGGTCCAGAGAAGAGCAACCAGGCTGGTGAAGGGACTTGAGCACAAGTCCTATGAGGAGAGGCTGAGGGAGCTGGGGTTGTTTAGTCTAGAGAAGAGAAGGCTTAGAGGTGACCTCATCACTCTCTTCAACTACCTGAAGGGAAGTTATAGCCAGGTGGGGGTTGGTCTCTTCTCCCAGGCAACCAACAACAGGACAAGGGGACATGGGCTCAAGCTCTGCCAGGGGAAGTTTAGGTTAGATGTTAGGAAGAAATTCTTTACAGAGAGGGTGATCAGGCATTGGAACGGCCTGCCCAGAGAGGTGGTGGATTCACCATCCCTGGAAGTTTTTAAAAAGAGATTGGACGTGGCCCTTAGTGCCATGATATAGTAATTAGAGTTGGATCAGGGGTTGGACTTGATGATCTTGGAGGTCTTTTCCAACCCAATCTATTCTATGATTCTATGATTACCTGGGAACTAAAGCAAGCTAGCTCTCTTCAGTATTAGATCTCTAATCTAAATGATAACACAGAAGTGATTGTAAGCAATAACACTAATACATAGCAGAGAACAATTTCATTGTAAGCCTGCATGTGCAAAAGTATCAGTTCAGGTAAGCCACAAAAGATCTCAGAAGCTAAAAAAACACCCAACAGCGAAAACCCACTTTAGTTCTAAAGGATTGTGAGAAAAGGATCAAACTGTGTTTTGATCTATTTTGATGCGCCCAATACTCAAAGCAGCCAATAAGAACTTGATTTCAAAAAGAAATCAGATTTTCCTCTTCTTGCCAGTCAGAATTAATGCTGCTCTAGAGGTACTTTACATCAAAAGCACAGTTTTAATTTGAACTATACCAACCTTTTTTCTGACCAAATAACCCCGTATAAATGCTTGCAGTTTAATGACAGCTCTTCTAGTCTTATTGTATTTCATAAATTGAAGTCTGCCTTCCTGCCAAGCCCGCAGATGTTTTTGGATAATTACAGCAGCAGCTTTTTGTTGAACAAATTTCCTTCTTGCCTTGAAACCTCTATATGCTTTTTGGATCAAACATGCAGCCTGAAGCTTCTGAAAGAGATTTTAAAGAATGAGTTGATAATTAAACTTTTGTTCAGTCTTGTCATGATCAATATATTTATATTTAGTTCTGGTTTTGGGGTTCTTTTTCCCCATCATAAGTACAAAAATGGAATAAGAAATACCAGCAAACACATAAAGTACTGGTTTATATAAAAATACACTTTCACAGTTTGGAAGGTCTTTACCTAAATGGGGTCAAATCTGAGCAATTGAACTTGATCCTTTGTAAGCAATAAAGCCAGCAAAAAATTTGGCATTTTATTTTGGTATCATTATAGTAAGGGGTAATCCAACAACTGGTACTGTTCAAAACCAGGAATCAATCCTTCCACTTAAAGCAAAAAGGCTATTTAATATTTTGAAGATTGAACAGCCTTGATTTGAACAATCTTTGTTCTGGTCCCACCTTTTCTATGATTCAGTACATCATTGTCAAAAATCACTCAAATATATGGAAAGCTTTTAAAGCAACCATGACATAGAGTGCAAGTGAAAACATACCTTTTTTAGAAGTTTTCTAGCCCTGTACTGTCTATATGCCAGCTGAATCTTAACTGCAGCATTCTTAGTTGCCAGAAAGTGATGCCGAATCACTCGGGCAGTGAGGGTCGCTCTCCACCTTCTTTGGATGGTAAGTGCACAGAACTTCATTTCCAAAAACCTAACATAAAAATGCAGTTTTAAATAAGAAAACAGTGATGATTAAAATAGATATTGTGAAAGCAGAGCCATTGTCAACCAAATCTTGGAACACCAGAAAAAGGGGATATCTAGCAATGTTGGCAGAAAGACTGATTTGGAATGAAAAATACTTTGTGTTTTACCACAGTAGGTACTTCCATAACTTGCTGTCAAAGGAGACAGCAGTTTGAAAGGCACTGGACAGACTGACACACTACAGGTCCATAGCAGGATAATAGGTAAGGATGTTTAATAGGCAGGGATGCTGAGGGAGGACCTGGGAAAGCAGAAAGTGGTCCGGTTAACATATCCCTGAACAGCATCCTCTACTGATACCAGCATGGGACACGGTTCAGAATGAGAAGAGCTATCAGGCTGATCTAGTAGAGCATTTGTCATAAAATCATCTCATAGCAAAATAAACATAAACTAATTTAACTATTCCAATATGGAGTATAATGAAATAGTTTTTCAATGTATTAGTTTTATGCTGAAATTTTAACAACATCCTTCTTGAGAGAAACAGAAGTGAAAAAAAATTGAGGCCTACTCTTTTCTAGATCCGCAATACACAAAATTTAAGTTTTTGAGGGAGCTTCCATTCCAGAAAAATAAACATAGTGAAAATCTTGCACAAGAGAATAACTCCACCTGCACCAAGAGGTGCATGTTATAGGCATGATGCGGGGTCAGATCCTGAGAATCTGTAGGCATTTGCCAGAGTGCAAAGCAGCACTAAATAATTATATAATAAAAGTTTTGAAAAGTAGAGAAATTTATATCAAATTCAGTGTTACCAGGTCCGCAGCTGCTTCGTTCTGAAGTGATTCTGAATAATAAGTGTAGCTTTTACCACAGCTGCATATTCCTTTCGTGCTTTGTGACCTCGAAACCAGGCTTGGATTACTTGTGCTGCTCTCATTTTGTTAACCCATTGCCTGGCTTTGTATCCTCTATATGCTGCCTATTAAACATATAAAAAGAAAAAAAAAATCAAAACTTGAGGGTTTTATTTGTTTAAGGGAACAAACAAAATTAAAAGGAAAAAAGTCATGGTAATGTGAACAGCTTTTAGGATTCTTATCTCTACAGTATTATAAATATCTAATTTCTCACAACCAGAAGATGTCTTTAAAAGCAAGTGAAACACATTCAGGGAAAACCCACAAATGCACCTCTCTTTAATGTCTGCAAAAATAATTATATTGTGAAGAAAGAAATACGAGAGATTTAAAAAACAAAAACAAAACCAACCAAACCAAACCCAAACAAACTCTGCTTTTATGATTACCTGAATTTTAATGGCAGCTCTTTTCATTTGATGGTATCTCTGCTGTTCAATATGTCGCATCCGATGGGCTCTGTAGTGCTGCTGTATCAATACAGCAGAAAACTTGCACCGAAGGTATTTCTGTCTCTCAAGAAATCCACGGAAAAGTGCCTTAAAAGAAAAAGACATATTTCTTGGAATATTTAACCACTTGCATGGTATTGAGGGGGAATGTTTTCATATTTTTAAGTATAGTTGTACTTAATGACTTCTTAGAAAAGCAACAATATAATACATTTCTGATTTCACTTTTTTTTTTTTTTTTTACTTTTTAAGCAAAGTAATTATATTTACATTGTTCAGGATATAGAAGTTAAACATTCAGAAAAATAACCAAGAGGCTGCCAATTTCCCCCAAAACATGGAGATAAGGAAGGCACACCTGTTTTCTTATCTGTTAAGCACAGCATGTGCTTTCCAACAAGATAACAATAACAACCTAAGAAATTGTCAGGGAATTATTTGGTTGAAAGGGAACTTTACAGATCATCTAGTTCCAACCCACATACCGTGGGTAAGGATGCCATTAGATCAAGTTGCTCCAGAGCCTCTTATTATTGTTATCTTATTATTGTTATCATCACCTCCCTGATTTGAGGGAATTTCTGTGCTTCAATTCCTCTTCCAAATGTTACCTAGGCACTCAAGTTACTCTAGGGACATTTAATAAGCCTAGAAGGACTAACATGACTGATTCATGTCTTCCTAAAGGGTAGACATAAAGTCTTAGAGAAGTCTAAGTCTTAAAGAATGTCTAAAGGAAATTTTTGTCATTTACTTCACTTTATACCCACTACCAGTACCCTCTCATTTCAATACATCAAGACAGCTTTCATTCCTGTTCCAATCAAATAAAACACTCCTTAAGCTATCAATGCACTGGTAAAAGTCAATTCTGACCTAAAGAGCCTTAGCTCTGTGCACTGTGAGAGTAAGCTTTATACATCTGCCATGTAGTACACTTCAGATATTGATTCTTCTTGAGCTTTAAACTGCGGTTTGCAAGAGTAATAAATGTTAAAAGAACCCACAGGTTAAGAAAACCACACCCAAACCCCATGACTACTCATTCCAAAGTACCTGAATTTTTATTGTGCTTTCTTTAACTTTGTGAAACCTCTTCTTTTCAATGAATCCTCTGACTCTAGCCTGCACAATGATAATGTTCCTCCGGGTTTGTAAGTAAGCCATTCTGTGGTGTTTCACAGTCAAGTGGGATCGGTAGCACCGCTGTAAGACAACTGCTGCTTTTTTATATCTTGTATACTGTGATTGAGTTTTACACATTAAGTAATAGGCTTGTAATGTAATGGCTGCTGTTCTAAGTTGGACATATTTTCTTCGTTGCACAGCCATCTGAAGAAAAGACTGAACCTTTCTTGCAGCTCGTATTTGCCTTGCTATTTTTCTTGCTTTCAAACCACGGAAGGCAGACTGAATAATGACTATTGCTTGTCTTTGAGCCAAATACTCTGCTCTCTGTAAACGAGCCCTGTGACACGATCTGTACCACCTCTGAATAGCAATTGCTGAACTCCGGATCAGTTTATAGCGAGTCCTTGTTCTTTGGCATCGGAACATCGACTGGATTGTTATTACCGCTGATTTCTTTTCAAGAAAGCGTCTCCTCTCTATGCACATTCGTAAGAATGACTGAATGCACCGTGCAGCAATGTTGGCTTTATACAATTGCCTGGCTTTTTTAGCACGAAAAGCAGCTTGAAGGCAGATGACAGCCTTTTTCATTTTTGCATAGTTTTTCATGTCAGCTTCTTTTGCCATTTTGGCTCTGAACCTCTGCTGCATGACTCTGACAGCCCAGCACAACTGTTTGAAATGCCTACGCTGTACGTACATGCGATAACCAGACTGTATTACAGTTGCTGAAACATGCATGACTTTCAGTTTCTGCCGTGCCTTCATGCCTCTGTACGATGCTTGAATAACAAGAACAGAATTCTTCACTGTCAGATATTCCTTCCATTGGTTCCTTCCTTTCACGTAGGATCGATAGTAGCTTTGTATAACAATAGCTGCAGTTCTCATATTTTGGTAGGACTTTCTATCCCTGTGCATTCTATAGGCTGACTGTATGGCACTGGCAGCTGAATGCATGTGCTTGATGCTCTTCCGCACCCTGATGCCTCTGTACACAGCCTGTATACAAACAGTTGCTCTGCGAAGAGAACAATATTCCAAAGTATGCTGTCTTGACAGAAGCAAAGCTCTGTACCTTCTCTGAAAGACGAGTGTAGCTGCTTTAAGAGAGAGGTATCTCCGACGTTCTCTAAAAGCTTTAAAGTTTTTCTGAACCACAGTAGCAGCCCGATGCATTTCTCGCTGTTGTTTTCTTGCTTGCATGCCTCGAAAGGCCTTCTGGATACGAGTTGCTGCTTTCTTTAATGAAGAGTAACGCTGTACTGCAATTTTCCTTAGCTTATTGGCTCGGTATCTCCTCTGTATTAGCTGGGCTGCCCACTGAAGTTTTCTGTAATGACGGTACTGCCTACACATTCGGTAGTTTCTCTGTATTGTAAGTGCTGCCTCATGTCTTCTCCTCAAGAAGCATCTTGTTTTCATTCCTCTATAGGCAGCTTGAAGAACTAAAACAGAATTGTACAGTTTAAAATACCTTTCTCTCTCATGCTTCCCTTCCCTGTAAGCTCGATAACGTCGCTGTATGGTTACTGAAGCACGCTTGATTTCTTGGTAAGAAGTGTAAATTTTACGCATTCTTAGCATTGCTTGAATAACTGTAGCAGCTTGATGCTTTTGCTGCATTTTTTTCCTTACCACAAATCCTCTATAAGCAGACTGTATGATAACTGCAGCATTAAGGATAGAGAGATAGTTTTGACGTTGAATTTTTGCCAGTTTTGTTGCTCTGTATTTTCTCTGAATTACAACAGCAGCTGCCTTAATGGAGAGAAAATGTTTCCTCTCAAGGAAAGTTCTAAATCTTCTTTGAATAATCACAGCTGATTCACTCATAGTTCTGATAAGTCTTCTTGTTTTCATACCACGGAACGCAGCCTGGATGCGCAGTACAGCATTTTTCATCATCATATACTTGTGAACTTGTGCATTTCTCTCCTTACATGAACGGAACCACTGCTGAATCTGCCTAGTTGCCAGCAACAACTTTCTGAAATCCCTCTGTTGTCTATACATTCGATAATAAGACTGTATTATTGCTGCTGACTGATGCATAGTTTTTAAGTCTCGTCGGACTTTCATGCCTCTGCAAGCAGCCTGAAGGATTATGACAGACTTCTTTAGTTCCAAGTACTTTTTGCGCTGTACTTTGCCTAAACAAAACGCTCTATACTGTCTTTGAATTCTAATCGCTGCCATTCTCATTGACCGGTATTTTATGTTCATGTGATGCATCTTAAACGTGGCTTGGATGCAAACAGCTGCTTGATGCATACGGTGAACTTGTTGTCTGACTCTTACACCTCTGTAAATCGCCTGCATTTTGACTGTGGCTCTTTTTAAAGACAAATATCTCTGCCTTTGACATTTAGCATGAATAACTGCACGGTAATGCCTTTGCATAGCTATAGTTGCAGATCTAAGTCTTTCATACTCCTTCTTGGCCAGGTAGGATCTGAAGGCAGCCTGTATAGTTGTAGCAGCTTTGTTTAGTTTGTTCAGGTGTTTTCTCACAGCCATTCCACGGTAAGCAGACTGCAACACTAATGCAGCTGCCTTTGTTTTTAGATAAATTGTACGTTGGGATTTTTTCATACAGTAAGCTCTAAAGTATTTTTGAATCACTAGAGTGGCTTGTCTTAGTTTCTTGTATTTTTGTTGATTTACATGCATTCTGTAATAGGTCTGAATAATGGTTGCAAGACTGTGCTGCTTCTGAATTGTTTTCCTCACAGTTTTCCCCCTCCATATTGCCTGAAGACGCACCACAGAGTTACGCAGTTGAACATATTCTTGTCGCTGTTTCCGGCCCATAACGCTGGCCCTGTAATGCCTTTGAATAGTTAGCACAGCGTGGCTCATAAGCCTGAACTTTTTCAGAGCCATGAACTTCCTGAAGGCAGACTGTATCACAGTAGCAGCAACGTGCTGTCTTCGAATCTGCTTTCGAACCTTCCAGCCACGAAAAGCTGCTTGTAAAGAAAGCACTGCCGCTCTTGTCCTTAGGAAGTTCAGTCTTTGCCTGTTACCACTCCTACAATTTCTGTACCACCTCTGAATCACAACAGAGGCTTGAACAACTGCCTTGTGTTTCCTTCGTGCAGCATAAGCTCTAAAAGCAGTTTGAATTTTAATAGCAGCTCTGTATTCAAGTTTAAGCTTTTTGCGTGTTCTATAACCCCTGTAGGCTGCCTGTAAGCGCACAGCTGCTTTTTTAACTTGCAAGAATTCCTGCCTCTGACACTGTTGCTTTTTGTGTGCACGATAATGTTGTTGAATGACAATGGCAGCCTTATAGATGCTTAAGTACTGTTGCCTGTCCCTTCTCATTCTGTAGCAGGCCTGAAGAAACACTGCAGTCTCCCTCCACCTTTGTATTTGTTTCCTGACAAGATAGCCTCGGACTACAGCTTGAATTCTTATGCAAGCTCCCTTCAATTTCCTAAAATCTTCTTTAAGTTGAAGAGCATATCTATGAGACCGATACCTTCGCTGGACATAAAGTGTTGCTTCCTTTAAAGCGCAATAATGTTTACGTGCTTGCCACATCTTCACAAAAGCTTGAATCTTTACTGTCGAATCTTTCAAGTTTTTAAATCTCTTCCGGACGACATAAGCACGGTAACTTGCCTGAATTTTGATCACAGCTCTCAATATGCGAGCCTCTTTCCGAGCTTCCATCCCTCTGTAGGCAGACTGGAGAACAATGGCAGCCAGGCGCATCCTCTGGAAAGAAGTAGCTGCTTTTTTAGAGGCGACATGTGCCCTATACCGAGTTTGAATTACAGAAGCAGCCTTTTTAATCTCATTGTATCTTTTCACTTGCTGGTATTTCCTCACGTGTGACTGCAATGTAGTAACAGATTTTTTTAATTGCAGAAACCGTCGTTTCTCTTGTTTCATTCTCCACAGTGACTGAACAACACAAACAGCTCTTGTTTGTCTGTACAGCTTACGTGCCTTCATGCCTCTAAAAGCAGCCTGGAGAACTATCACTGCTGCACGCTTTTGTAAATAGTGCTCCCTCTCAGTTTTCCCTAGTTTATAAGCTCTGTAATACTGCTGAATTATCACTATCTTTGCCCTGTGTTCCTGGTAAACACGTCTGGCCAGCTGACACCTGTACCAAGCCTGAATCTTGATAACATTTTGCCTAATATGTAAATATTGTTTCAGGTCCCTGTGCATCCTGTACCACGACTGTATGACAAGGGCAGCCCTCCTTCTCTTAGCCAGTTTGGAACATTGCCATTTTCGGAAATAGGTCTGAAGTACTAAAGTCGCTTTAATTTTCTGTTGAATTTTGTGTTTTCTCCATCTTCTGAATGCAGACTGAATAGTAAGTGCTGAAGACTTTAAGATTTTGTATCTTTGTCGATCTTTTTTTGCCAACTTAGATGCACGCAGATGACTCTGAATTGTAACAGTAGCCCAAACAATTCTTTTATATGCAGCAACAGCCTTCACCATCCTTATCCTTGCTTGTACAAAAATAACATAGTATCTTAGCTGTAAATATTGTTTCCTAGCAGAGTATCTCCTCCAATAAGCCTGCAGGGGAAAAAAAAAGAGAAAATTTAGTATTTTCTTTATAGTATGTCAAGTTAAGCCCAAATTTGAAGACAAACACCTTAAGACTTCTTAAGATTTCTTTATTTCTACTTAATCCCTAGGAAGGTAAGCCCAAAAATCTACATTAAAAAACCAAAACAAACAAAACCCAACCAAAATCACCCCAAACAAAAACAAAGACCCAAAATCAAAACTAACAAAACAACAACAACAAAAAAAAAAACAAATAAACCCCACAATAATAATAATAATTTAAAAACCCCACACCATATCAAAACAAAAAGCAAAAGTCAAGTTCTTGAATCGTTGTTTTTTTTAGACATCTTATATTCTCAGAAAAGACTAAATTTGCCCTGTCAACACCAGATTCCGTTTTAAACCATTAGATAAATTAGTGTTTCTTTTAACAACCATTCTAAAAAGTCTTAAGAGGGTAATGTTTAGCTTTGGGTAATAGGGGCAAAAGTATCTTGAGGAACTGAATTAGTTGTCCATCTACCATTGGTCACTAATGTCTGCCATTCTGAATGTGCCCACTGCAGGTAACATAACACTAGGAGAGCAATTTTTAATTTTTTGTAAAACCCTGTTTAAATAATGTTCAATAGCTGCAAAGAGGAAAGCCAACACAATCTGATTATTCCCTTTACACTGACTAGTTTAAGGCCCAGTGTTTTAATGTTTACGGTATTCCAAAATATTAACTAAGAAGGAGCAATTTTTAATTTAATAGCACATTACTATCTCTATCTGAAGAGAGAAAGTTATTAAAACATCTCAAAAGTAGAGGGGAAAAAAAAAAGTAAAAAAAAAGATATTACATTTCATGAAGGCATCAGTTACTGCAAGTTGAACAAACGGTCCTCAGCAAGAGTCTTAGAGGTTTCAAAGAGGTTTCCTTGCTGTGTAATCTCACTTTAGATTGTATTACCTGAATGACTGTGGCAGATTTACTTCTGGCTTCCTCCAGTTTTGCCTTTTTCAGATTGAAGAAAGTCATCCTGGCTGAGTATCCTCTCCAGTGCTTCTGGATGGAAATGGCTGCGTTCACTCTCTTCAGGAGGTGTCGACGAGCCAAGAAGTTTATTGCAGATTTCTGAATTATCTGGGCAGCTCTGTCTCTTTCCTGCAAAGAGACATTTCCACTGAATAGTTACGATTGGAATTTTCACTCAAATGTCTGATGTGATTAACTATCTAGAGCAATCTCTTAAAAATTAGGCTTGTTGATACACAGCTTTTCTTCACTATAGTAAAAGAACTTTTCTGAGACACAACATTTTATCTGAATTCTTTGTAAAAGGCTGGTATCACTTAAATTTGCATCCTCCTGTCTTCATAGTTCTTCTTTAAAACACAATTTTTAAACATTCCTATGCAACCCATTTTTAAGCCTCAATTTTAGTTTTCATTTATAAGTTTAGGATACCTTCAGTAATGGAGCACACCGGAGTGTTGTCTGGTTATATTTAAATAATATAAAAGAGTAGTAGAAGCTTATGTCCATCTACCCCAGAGTTTTGTTTGCACAAACCAACCAGTGCTTTTGTTGCCACCCAGAGATTGTAGTAACAAACTGGTGCACATCGAAATAAAAGGAAGAAGCAACTAACAAATGTAACACATCAATATTTAGATCATTCCACTACTAGCCTATCCTACCACAGGGTAAAGCATATATGAGCACATTGTAAGATTATTTAAAAAAAATAATGTTAGCAATGTTTAAGTGGTTTTGGTTTTGACTCCTTCTTTCCCTACCAGCATCTTTACTATTAGTTGTTTCAAAAGAGTTGCAAAGGGAATGTTTTGTCATCATTATTAAGGTTGTGTAGATTTTAAAGTTAAAAAAAAACACCCTGGAGATGAAAAAGCCTACACAAATACAACCTCTGTCCCCTTCTACACCGCATATTCTTAGAATATTTCACTTGAACACTGTTCCAACATCAAATATTATGTATCTCAGTAAGACACAGAGGTGGCATTTATCAATCTTAACGGTACCATAGTTTTAAAACCCTCACAAGTTCTGATATAACTACCAGAAAAGTGAGAAACAAAATACCAGAACTCATGAAATTCAATTCAAAAGACTGGTGAAGTTTAGTTCCTAAACAAATATAGTAAATCCCTGCAGTAGTTTAATTACTCTTCTCATCTTGTAGACGTGAATAGGAATTAAAAATTAACTGCTCCCTCTTTCTTTTAGTAGATTACACCACCAAGGCAGCCACATGTTTTGATGATAAAAATGGTACTCATTCATTTAAATGCCAATATTATTCAAATAAACCTGTATATCCCGATGACCTTATATCATTTATTTATTATTTCTCACAGTAGAAGGTATGTATATCGCACAAGCAAAGAGTACCTGATAAAGTTTCAGTTCCCTTTTCAGCCTATAATTCCTCCAAGCAGACTGAATTATCCGTGCAGCTCGAGTTTCGTGCCGCAGATCAAGAAGCCGCGAGCACAGGAATGACAGGTAGGTAATAACAACCTATACAGACACAGAACACAGCAAGTGAAGGGCTATACAGAAAGAGCAGAACACGTTCACGGGAGGGCAGAACATGTTTACATCAACTCTAAAGGCATTTTACCTTCTCATCAGGAATTGTATTTGACATGTCTGAGTGATGAATCATTGCTGGTATTCCACCTAGGTCAGAAACTGCAGCATTGATCAGTTGGAAGTTTTTCTTTTCATTGTCCAAGAGCTCCTTGTATAGGACTGAGGGATTTACGGCTTTGTAAAGAGAAAACATTAGTCAAATCAAATTGAGCATAAACCAAATAGACTTAACATGAACCTCTGTGCATCAAATAACTCACTTTGGTCAAACATTTCTTCCATAAGATTTAGAGAAGTATCAGACTCTGATGAGGAGGAAGAGTTTAATCCCACTGTAACAGTTCTTGAGCATTCTACTGTCTGAGTTGTTCGTTGGCACACAGCTTCCAAAGGCACGTAGCACGGATGATAATGATGAATCAAATGACATAATACTCTACCATCTGAGAAACACACTGTGAAATTTTCTACCTGTTAAAATAAAATACAGCAAGATTTTTGTTACCAGTAATTGGACATAGTTTGTTCTTTCTACCTTTGAATGTGACCAAGTGCAAATTATCATTGAACATAAAAAAATTTGGAACTAGTGTTTCCTTTGAACATTTGCTGTACTGTGTGTACAGTGCTGTACAGTTTCTCCCATCTGTGAGAATCCAGAAACAAAATAGATGTGAATCATTATATAGTGAATCTACAAGGGAAACATTTAAGAAACTAAAGAGAAACCAACCTTTCTACGGAAGCATTTCAAATAAATTTGTGTAGATACCTTTACATTAGGTTTTTAATGCAGAAATAAGTTCTGAATTTTCATCAGTCCTAAGTGCTCTGTTTATTCTTTAGAAAAGCTATAGCTGTGACTGTATTCCCACCAGAGACATGTGTCTGACCAGGGCTTCCCCTCTTGGAGAAAGCAAACACGTCCTTTCTAAACAAGCATCTCTGAGGAGAGGAATTGACTTTATCCCTAATATCAGTCTAATTCTCATAGCTCCTATAAACAGTGAAAATTCTTTGCACAAATACTTGTACAATGAATACTTAGTAAAAATACACAAACAACTCTCATTCCAGCAAAAAATGTTCTAGTTTTAAAAGGCAATTTTATGCATAAGACTAACTGGAAGGGGAAATCCTTTTGCTCAGATTTGTTTAAAAAGAGAGCTGCAGCTAAACTCACACAATGATGGTTATTTCAAATCAGATTAAACAAAGTCCAGAAGGATATTTCAAACTAATTATTATTGGCTGCTACTATGTATTTGATAGTTTCAAGAACTCTGCTCTATAAAGAATTATGACACCATAGGATTCACTTGTTGAAGTATACACAACACTACTTACTTTGATATCGTAAAATCCACAAACAGCATTAACCCATGCCATCAGGAGCTTCACATTTTCACTGTAACTCTGAGGTGAGGAGTTATCTTTGTCTTCTTGTACTCTAACAGAGTTTGGAAAAGTCTTGAGAGCATTTAATTGTGCTTTTCTCTTGTATGAGTTAGTCAAAAACTCAATTTCTTCTTTCAACTGTTCCACATTCAGAAAAACATCCACCTAATAGGAAGAAAAAAAAATGACACGTCAAAAATCTGACATGTCATGCATTGCAGCTACTGGATGCAGAGCCTTCAGACATGGAGCTTTAAAGAGAAACCACACTCACTACTTAGCAGTACCTCCTACACTGAATCTGGATTTTCCAACATAGATGGCAGCAAAAAAACCCTGGAATCTAGCCTCCCACACTTCTGTGGGAGAACAGTTACTTCATTAGTTAATAGTTAGGAGAAACAGAGAAATTTTCCCTGAAACAGCCTGTGTAATTTCACCAGTCTCAGAGGAAACAACAATTTCAGAGTCTCGCCTGCAATTTCACTGAGCCCACGTACCACTCCTCCTCATTTAAGGGATTCTGGGAGGACTTCAGCTGGTGTTGTGAGGGTGTGAGAAGATTTGGAGAACAAGTAACATATCCACAGGGCTTGGATAAAGCCACTACTCACTGAAATTATTTCTTTAATCAAAAGCAATGTGACTCATGCATCAGGAGAACTAACTCAAGGAAGGAAGTAGTTAAGCAAGAAAATCGTTACATTTGATTTTTATGATGTTGTCTGGCTTAATGATAGTTCTGTGTCTATAGTCTTGCATATTCTTGCTTTACATATAATTAATTGCACTTATATTTCTGACTACTTAGCGGTGAATTTTCACCTCAACTTCTATCTTATTTTACCTTCCATAGGTCATGTTCCTTCGAGTTGGATTTGTCAGCTGCATACTTATTTTTAAAATACTATCCAACTCAAGTTAACTCAAAACAGTTTAAGAAAACTATTTGTGATTCCTCTATTATTTTTTTTCCAGTGGCTTTGAAATGCCATTACAGTAATGCCTAAGAAATCTTCGTTCTTATTTCAAAAATGTTTTATCTGAAACAGTCAATTTCATGAATGGAAAAAAAAAACAGTAAAAGAGCTATAGCTTCAGAGTTTACTCTATAACCTCAGAATGTCCTTTTCAGTTAGGACGAGTTTACCAGCAGTTTTGAGATTAACATTATTTTAAGTATCAATTCTGCTAGAATACAGTATAAACTTAAAAGTTCATCTTTTTTCCAAAAATTGTATGAATGTATACAAGAAAAAACATAGATAAAATGTTATCCAAGTTGTATTGTTAGGGAACAGTTAGCAGTTCAGCCAAAGCTTTCATGGAACTTTGAACATATAAAGCAAATAATTTCAGTTCAAAATTTGATTAGTAGAGGCTTTCACAGACAATAAATATTCCTGAAAGACTGATGTTTTCATTACTGCTTGTTTGCAACTGGTAACAAACAAACAAACAAAATAAGTAATTGAATTACCTGGAAGGCAAAGACAATTTTCCACAGGAGTGCTAATGTTCGTTCTCTGTGTCTATCCACAATATCCCTGGAGTCAATTGAAGCACCTGTCAAATAAACAAAGGAATTGGAATGTGCACTAGTTACCTGATGCACTTAGAATACCCCTGATTTCTAGGCCTTACCACTTTCATCTTTCAAGTGTATTCCTCTCTCTTTAAGGACATTAAGAACAATATCAACATTATGCATCTTCTGTAGACGACTTATTGCAGGAACTCTCAGTTGTTTTGAAAGATTCCAGTTTTTGGTCAGAAGCTCCACTGTTCTCCTAACAAAGGTAATTTCACAGTTTAATGCCTTTGCTGAGCTCACATTAGGTATTATATAAAAGAAAATAAGTATTTTAAAATAATTCTGTATCAACGCACACGAGACGAATGCCGCACTGCAAGTCCACAGCCAGATTTGTGACAGCAAAATCAAATTCATCAAGTGGAGTTTGAACATGGCAGACAGGTAGTCCTAGGAAACCGAGATGGCGGGAAAGGTCACCTTCACCACTCAGGAAATCCCGGGAAAATGCAAGCAAAAGGTCTTTGCTAGCCTAGAATTAAGAAAAAAGAAAAGATAATCTTAAAACTACAATGTTTTTCAAGTAGAATACATTTCTCCCAAATTGCATTTCATATTTCCTTGTCTAATATTTAAAATTATATTTTATAAAAAAAAAATCTATTTTTGGCCAGTTCACACAGCTTTAATTGTCATTATATCTGGCTGCCATGTCACTGAAAGCACCACTAAATTCAGGAATACCTTTTTCTCAGTCTGTCTGTCTACACAGTACAAATGTAAGATATTTGTTAATCAAAGCCTTTGTATGACAGATGTTACATAGTCTTTCTTATCACAGCAAAATAACAGAAAAAAACAAAGAGAACAGTCCATCAGACTGACCTGCAGCTTAAGGTCAGCTGCAGCATCCTAGAGTAATATTTAAAAATAATGCAGAAGGCTCAGATTTAGAGAGGGAAGTCAAATAATGCAGGACTTCAGAGTCCTTCCTACAGAACCAACACCTCAGAATATTCTCTTGGGAATTCCATTACATGACCATGAGACAGTATTTTGAGAATGTCCATGCAAAAGGCTGAACAATCAGGACTTGTTAAAGTACATAATCAGATTAAAAAAAAAGAAAACAACATCCTACATGGAGTCTTAATACAATATTGGAGGGAGGTAGCAAATCACAGCTCTCTTACCTTGAACTCTGCATCCTTACAAAAGAGGCAAGGGTCATGGTCAATCATCCTGGACCGTTTGGCACAATCCAGAAAGCAAACTAACAACAGCAATTTTTTCAGTGTGAATTTCGACAAAGCTTCCTCATGACCTAAAAAGACAGAGCCCATTAAGTGATAGTTTAAAAATTAAATGCTAAAAATGAATTATTTTGGAAGCAGTAATTACCTTCTCTGTAAAGGTGAGGCACAGTGGGATGTCTGTATTCAGCTGCAATGTCAGGGTTCCAAAGCAGGCGATTAAGGATAAATATTGCTAAACCCATAACATCACTATTACTCTCCAAAGCTATCAGTTCTCCATAAACAGTCTAATAAGAAAGGAGGGGTAAAAAGCAGAAATTATAAAAATCATCTTAAACACTGTGGAATTTTTTTTAATAATATACATTATTGAAATTCAGAAGTAGTAAATGGAAATTAGTCTCTAAAAATCCAACAGTTTTCAAATGAGTCACTGAAGGGTAAAGCCAAAGGAAGATTCAGAAGATCAAATCTTATTTCAAAATACGTATAATCATCTACATCTTAGGAATCAATCAGGAACTTCTTTAAGACAACTACATTCTTCTTCAGTTTAGTAGACTGAAACTGATAGTGAAATGTTTTGCTGTTATTGGTCAGGGAATTAACTTCTGCTTTCCCTGATTAAATATTTTCCTTCTTAATAAGGTAAACACTTTTTCAAAGCAAGTATCTTGTAACACTTTAAAAGACATGTAAAAAAGCTATAACTGAATTGAATCTACCTGAGTTAGTAAGAGAAATAAAAAGAAACTCAAACCAACCCCAACTGCTAGATGTGCTTTAAACTCATAGACTACACACAGTGCACTGACCTCCAGACCTATACGCAGCCATAAAGGGTTGTACGATAACAGCCAGTTGAGTATTTTCTGCCTCTCTCCTGCAAGAGAGCATCTTGTAATGTTAGATCCAGCAAACATTTCATATTAATGCAAAAATTTCTATTAATCAATTTTAGTTTAAATCAATGTGCAAATAATCCTTTTTCTACTTACAAGAAAGAATGCCGAGTTTTAGTACTCCTTACCTATATCTTTCCAGAGGTGCCTGTCTCTACGAACCAGCAAGCGTTTAGTTTCAATCTCAACTTCCAGTTTCTTAATGGCTCTGACCATTGTTTCGGAGGTAAACAAACGACAAGCTTCACGGCGCAGCTTGTTCAGCTTCCGATGAGCCGTATAGGCCTTTAGAGACGCCTCATCTTTCGTTGGTGCTTTAAGAAGGCTCATTTTATGATGGTTCTCTTCTCCCAGGATAAGAGCAGCTGCATTTACTGTTTAAACACACACAAAAAGTATGTATTTACATCTCAAAAGAAGGTAGCTTTTGCCCACTCCTAAGCTGACATTTTGCTGTTTTCCTTCTGACTAATGACTTATCCCTCAGGAAGCTTGTCAGCTGTTGCACTAAACATATACTGCCAAGTACAAGTATACTAGTCAAGTATTTAATGTAACAATGCTTATTTCATAAGTGCTAGAAATTCGGTTTCAAGATCAATGGTACACTCTTCATTTTTTTCAGTTAAAGGTAGAGGAAAAAGTAGGTTACCTTTATTTTAGCAAAGTGTCAGTTATAATGTTTTCCAGCAGGTGGGGATTCCTCACCCAACACCCACTGAGGAGTGCTGCAGCCACATATTCCAGTGCATTCTCGTTGCAGAGCACACTCCCCATGCAGGTGTGTGGTGTGCTGTGCTTGCCATAAGCAAGTGTGCCACCCACACTTATCATAAGGGGAAAAATACGGCTCTGAAAAGGTTTAGTGTTAAGTGTGTAATACTACTATTCATTAATATTAATAAAGTATGTTATATAACGTTTAAGAACATTAAAAGAAAAAATGGATATTCTTGTACCCTTACCTTGTGAGGTATTTGTTTTCACACTGAAGTCATCTGGGGTAAGTACAAAATTTAACCACCAAGTGAAACCTCGTTGCTGCTTCTCCTTCCAACGTTCATCATAAAACATGTTTTTAGTTGCAAAAGGCATTGGGTGCCTAGGAATGACTTAAAACAATCACAAACAAACTGTAAGTCTTTGCAGTTCTTGGAATGTTTGATAACCAATATACACTGCATTGTGGAAAGGATTAATGTTTAGCACTACAGCAGAGAAAAGCAAATTCTTCAAATCTTCAGTGACTACAGAACAGCCACCATTATATAAATTTTAGCCACAAAATGTGGATTGAGTTATTAAAGCACTAGAACTAAGACAAGATTCTAGAACCCAGGCCATTTGCAATGAGATTAATCCAAATTGAGCTGGATTACAACCAGGAAGAACCATTTTATAGATTAATTTTTGTCATCAGATCAACTTAGTATTCTTAACTCTGTAAAATTATTATCTTGCTGGTAAGAATTTTTTCCTCTTAGGTATTCTGCTGTTGTCTTAAAACGTTGTCAGGTATGGAAGAGGCATTTACCTGATAACCATCAATAAGCTGTAATGTAGCTTTTAGACTCACAGGTAGAACTGGAAGAAAGCAATATTTACCTTCAGCTGGCTGTGTGTTGCAATGAATTTTATTATGAGTAGTCAAAACAAATCACAAAAGGTTACATATATTGTTCTACTAGATATTGATTCATTTTAGGTACAATCTTCCATTTCATCTCAACTCTAAGCAGTTAGGTCTTACCAGACATTAGCAGTACAACAACTGTGACCTTCGGTTCAGTGTGTACTGTTTTACTAAATACCAGGAGTCTGCCTACCTGTTTTCTGTGGTTTCACAAATGTCAGGTGAGACTGGGCCAATCCAGGGACCGGTTTACTAATTCTCTTGGTAGTTTTAGATGCTTTCTGAAGTGAATAACCTACAAGCATTAACGCACAAATATCAACAGCCAGTATGTCAGTGAAAATTACAATATTAGAGTTCATGTCACTTCCAAAGCACAGAACTGGAGTAATTCCCCATTAACCCATTCAAAAATACCAATAACCTCCTTTTATTGGTGGAAAGTTACACAAATCAGTTTGGCTACAATTAAAAGGGATTAACAGTTAAGAGTAAATAAGTGTTCTTATATGTTCTTCCATTTACTAAGGAAATGTACTGATTGAATTTCATTACCATATCTAGAAAGATCTACTCAAGGCTGACAACAGCTAATTACAGACAGTAAAAAGCAGGCAGAGTTAACAAGACTAGGAACTTCTTCACTGAAAGGTTGGTCAGCCATTGGGACAGGCTGCCCAGGGAAGTGGTGCAGTCACCATCCCTGGAAGTGTTCAAAAGGCATGTGGATGTGGCACCTGGGGTTATGGTTTAGTGGTGAACACGGTGGTGTCAAGATAATGGTTGGACTTGGTAATCTTAGAGGTCTTTTCTGACCTTAACAATTCTATATTTGAAAACATGTGACAACAGCAATGGAGTCAAATATTCACAATGGTAAATATACGTCAGATATAATGTGCAGTAAGTTTCTAGTAAATTAGAATTACATAACAAGGGCTCTGCCAAAGAACTGTCAGATACTTTTCCTGTTACTGTCATTTACTTTATTCCTGTGTAAGTTTGTTAATTTGAAGCCAATGATATAACCAAAACTCTAATCTAGTTTTCAGACTTAAAATGCAGATGTCTAACAAATTGCAGAGACCCACATTTCAGGGACATAAAATATTTCTGACCGCTGCCAAACAGTTCAGTTTGCTAAACACATTTCATAATCAAAGGTATCTTTCAGAAAATGGTAAATGAAAGAAATACTGCTCACCTGCTTTCTTTCTCTGCCCTGTTTTCTCTCGGTTTGTGGGTTTGAAGGCTGCTGGTCTCATAGTCGTATGTGTTTGATTACCCGTGCTGGATGTAAGAGTTCTTTTTCTTTCCACTTCTTCTACATACACTGGAGCTGTAACTCTACTATTTTCTACATAGGTTTCACTTTTCCTCTTACGACACAAAGAAGTTGATCCAGTAGGAGATGAATTTACTTTGTCATTGTGACACTTACTTTCAGCTGAAATGGGACCTGTAACTGGCAGGTGTTCAAATATTTCTGCTTCTGTACATACAGGCACCACATTAGCACATTCTATTATTGCTTTATTAAGGCATTTTTTAGATTTCGGCTGGCACGTTTCTGCTCTTGTTTGTTCTGTAGTACCAGGCTTACTTTTTATAACAGTGGCAGAAAGAATTGGACGTTTTTTCGTTTGTTCTCTCTGAGAAGAATTATCAGTCTGAGGTTCCTCTGCCGAACGAGAACTGCAGTGATTTTCTTTGGGTTTGTCATCATGAAGTGATGTTACATTGTGCATCTCAAAGACTTTGTGTAAGTTGTGTTCTACGCAAACATGAGTTTCTGTCTCTACATCTCCATCCTTTCTCCATTTTGAGGGTAGAAATCTCTTTACAACATAAGTCTCTGTGGTAGATAGTACTAATGCTGCCTCAGGTTTAGGAGTCTTTGATTGCTTATCTGACAAACTGTCTTTCACAAATTGATCAGGTGACAGAATTGTAAAAGGCTGCTCTGTTGTGTCTATATCCACTTGATAATTGCCATTTACAAAAGCATCTGGACTTAAAATTCTTCTTGTACTTACAGCAGGTGCATATGCTGAGTGTTCTGGAGTGCAAACTGGTGAGAGTGTATAATTAAGAACTCCTCCACTGTCTGAAAGTGGTAGTTGTGCTAATCCATCAGAACCGTAGACACTTTCAGATTGCAACTCATGCTCATTAACACACTTCTTGACTTTATGGTTGTGTCTCTGAGGCAATAACTCCTCATTTACAGAGGCAGCAATATCTGCAAACGTAGTAGATCTTCTCATTGCAAGGGGTGTGCTAACTGTACTACGATGTTCCTCTGGCACTGGTGCAATAGGAGATGGAGGTGATTGATTTTCTGAGCCAAGAAGAGCGTCATTTCCTGGGGATGTATTATTTTGCACTGTGTTCTGATTTTCACATGCCTGAAGTGGACGTCTAAGTCTATCCACCTTCTGAGAAACTTGGAATGTTTTATCAACATTTTCTATTTCTGAAGTACCCTTTTTAACTTTTGTTGCAGCAGAGGTTTCTGAAGAGTTTTTCTTTTTTAATTTATCCCAAAGACTCCTCTGAAAAAGAACCACAAAAGTTAGTGTGATTTCCTAAATACTTCTCCGAATAAAAGTGAACATTACTAGCATATTTATTCAAAGTTTAAAAATACTATAGAAAGAACACCTAATACAAAATTCACAATATGTTATTTCTAGGCTTCAAAGCAGTTTATTTGCTCATGTTTTAGTTTTATTCTCTAAGTTGTAATGCGTCGGCACCTGCTTTCCAATCCAGTGGAAACAAAAATGAGGACAATGGGCATTTCCACAGACAGCATTATTTATCAAATTTTAATACTCCTTCACTGAATTTTCTAGTAATAAAAACAATATCTGTGTCAGCTATGCCAAAGTAACAGAATTAAGACGCCATAAACTCACCTTTTTCTTTGGGGGCTGCTCAGCAGCACCGAGGAGCACAGCCTGGTGTTTTACAACGCCATTAACAAGAAAAGTTACCAGTTCTCTGACTTTTCCTTCTTCTAATGGTGTCCATGTCACAGAAACAAAGATTCTTTGTCCTGACTGTTGGAGACAAAGAAATGTTTAATGCTTAGCATTTAGGTACACTTACGTAACATTAAAGTAATCAAATGAAACGAGGAGCAGTATATAGAAGTAACATATATTCCAACAACGTGAAATAATACACAACTGTTAGACGTTTAAATGTCAGTTTTCCCCCTTTTGACGTGTAAATTTAAGCAATCACTATCAAAAATGTCATATAACTAAAAGGACATATGCCTCTTAATGAAACTACAGTGGAGTACAAGCAAGAATATATATAACACATAAAAAGAACAAGATTTGAGTAAAGGTAAGCAGAAGAAATTACATAACTTTTTGCACATATTAACCTAATAAGTCCTCTGGAGTAATTCTGAATTATAGTGGGATGAATAATCAGAGGTTAATTTTAGGACCTTGGCTGACCCTAAATACAAGTGTCACATTTTTTAGTCAAACAACATGAAAAGATGAGATCTGACACACAAGCTGTCTGAATAAAAATAAATAAATAAAGACACTGCATATAAATAAAGACATACCTTACTATTCATTAATTACTACAGGAACCTGTTATTCAAATACTTCATACCAAGATTCCAGCCTGGTTTCATAAATTCATTATTGCAACAGATCTCCAAAGCATTTTTTCCTCTCTCATAGACTCTGGACAGTCTAGGTGACCATAGGTATATGTTTGTCTAAACTGTCCCTTTAAGAACTGGCATTGATTGGACTAACCACACTTCATATTGCCTCGAGAATCATAAATATTCATTCCTAGCTTAAGCCTGCTTTGCTCTCTATCGTGTCATTTAATTAACGTGCAGAACAGTGAATTAGCATCCTCTTCCAAAAGCTCTCACAGCGCTTTTCCTAAACATACATCCTCCAACTTTTTGACATGTCACTGTTTAAGCACCTCTTACTCTTCCGTCTCTAAAACCAGATTCCCGGAGAACAATTAATTTCACTTTGTTTATTGCACCTTGCCGCACACACCTCGTCTACTGAGCCGGGACGCGACACCTTCGCAGCCTTTTACAGCCCCCCGGGCACCGAGGGCTCGGACGCCCTTTGGGGCGAAGGACGGGACGCGATCGCGCCACCCACACCCACCACCCACCACCCACACCCACCACCCACAGCGGGGCGCAGCTTTCGGGTACCGGCTGCCCCAAAGCCCGCGGGACGCGTGGCTGCCCCCTTGGCAGGACCGCACCGCAACCGGCGCCCGCCCCGCTCCTCCCTCCCGGGCACGGCTCGGGGTCTCCCCCTGCGCGTCCCCGCTCAGACCCCCGGCCCCGCTCCCCGCCGCACCTGCACAACGAAGCGGCGGTGCTCGATGCTGAAGCCCTTGGCCGGGAGGCGCTCGACCACCACGTCGATGTGCTCCTCGTTGGGGTTGTCGAATCCCAGCGGGAGCGTGCGGGAAGCGCCCACCTGCAGGCGGCCGAAGCTGAGGAAGGGCGGCCGGGAGAAGTGGCTCAGGACCAGCACGGCGGGGCCCTCGTCCGCGTCCTCCTCGGTGCCCCATCGCCGCCGCCGCCCGGGGATGGCGGTGGGGCTGCGCTCCCAGCGCGCCGCTGCCGGCACGGAGCCCGCGGCCATGGCCGGGCAGCGGGACCCGCACAGGCCGCGCTGACCCAACGGCCGCGCCCGCCGCGCGCCCCTTCAAACCCGCGGCTCCGCCAATCGCCGAGCGGGCCGCGCCCGCCGCGCCCCGCCCCCCCAGCTTCTCCGCCAATCAGCGCCCGGCGCCTCATTTAAACGGCTGAGCTCGCGGAGCACGGCCCGTGAGGGCTCGGCCGGGCTGCGAGATCGAATAACAAAACAACGCGCCTGGGCCGAGCTCCGCGACCCGGGGATCTCGGCACATTAAAAAAAAACCCCACCCAAAAACAACCAGTAAATCAAACGAAACCAAGCCGTAGGTTTGTTTTTTTTTTTTCCTAAATAAATTTAATTTACAAAATATTTTAAAATCGAAAGCAGAATGAGACACGCACGAATTTGATCAAAACATCGCCTCATCTGTTTCTCTTTCATGAGCTTTAAAATTAAAAGACATACAGAGTACTGTGTTTCCATGCTGTTCAAAAAAAGGGGAGGGGGGGGGCAAAAATCAAAACTTTGCACAAGCAGCCCTGCAGTAAATCCTGTGAAGCACACAATGTTATTAAGACAAAAGAACTTTACTTTTCCATAGCAAAACAAAATTACACATAGGACTGAGTACTTCTACATTCACAGTACACTTCCTAGCTTTTCCTTACAGCAAAGGATTTCCCCTAAAAAGACAACTTTAAAGACTCCCATCTAACATACCAACCTGTACAGATCACATTTAAAACACATTATCCCATATACCAGTGACAAAATATTGAGTTCTTTTCACCTTAGTCTTTCATATAAAAAGGACCAACATTTAAACATGATCAAAATGGTTATGGGAGTTCAAAAAATTTTGCCATTTTTACCTTTAATCCATCAAATAATTTTAAACCAAAACATTTCTTATGAATCATGAAAAAGACCCTATGTGGGCTTAAGCAAAATGACTGCCCTGCATTACATTCTGCCAGTGACATTCTTCAATGCACACGATGAAACAACCAAATCACTGTGAGATCGTATTGTAGAGAAAGATCCCACGTGACAGCAGTCACAAGGACCTACAGATAAATGCACTCCATTTCCCTTTAGCTTTAGGCATATGGGGAATATGCACTCTGCATCAGGTAGGCATGTATGTTCAATATCTCACATCTTTTATACTGTTCTCAGGAAAAAAAAACCCTATTCATCTACAACAGCCCTCTCAGAATTCTTTCATAATTCTACATTCATGAACTCCTACACAGGAATTATTTTAAATTAAAAAACTTAAGAGTTATTTATTTCATTTATTCCTTAGCAGTCCATAACACATTTCATGTTCAATCAAGCACATTGTGAGGTGACTCCTTGGAAGCATTCTGCAGTTCTGGATGCTCTTTGACATTCATTACTAGGGAAAGGAGCTTAGCTCTTTGATGATACCAAATAAATCTTTTGTCATTATGGTCTGGCACAACCCATCTTTAAAAACAACTACCCAAATTATAGTCCAGACTAAAGTAGCACTACAATTTTAAGGAAACCACAGCCTTACGGAAGATATATCATCACCATTACAAAGACTGATGTTCAGCATGAAAAGAACCCATGAGAGACATACCTTTGTAAGAAAAGTGTCAGTGCTCAAATAAATAAACTGAACATAAAATCCACTAAAAGAATTAAAGGCAGTAACCCAGAAATTTGTATAGCAAAAAACATAGAATCCAATGTTTAAACAGAATGAGTGCAATAAGTTCTCAGAACCACACGTAGTTTGGAGTACCAACACAGACTCCACTCTTCTTTCCAAAGGTCAGCATGTGGTAAAGACCAACTTTTTGCAATGTGCCACTAATCACCCTTTAGAAATATTTTTAAGAGACACCTCCTTCTTCCTTCTTTGGCAATAAATGCTCAGCTGAGCCAATGACTGCCAGATAAAACATAGCCTTTGCTGTAAATGCACCCTCCAGATCAACAGGACATGCACTCTCCTGTGAATACATACACATATTAAAACGGAGGTGCCAGACACTAAGGAGTTTCACCCCATGCAGCTGCAAAGTGTAGATCTCTGCCCTTCAACTCAGTCCTCTTTAAGAACTATCCTCCATCAAGCTGAAACAAGATACTTCCACCTACCAAATGAAGTACCAGTCCATGAAAATTTACTTTGCTCATATATGAATTTTAAATAGATGTAAAGCCATATGAATTATAGCTCATGATATTAAATAAAAATAAAAACTATGTATCTAACACATAAGCTTTCCTATTTTCTTTCACTGTCAACTGGCAATGATCCAGCCTGACCAGCAGGTAAAAACACTAACTAGTAGGGTTATCTGCAAATAAAAGAACACCAAAGAACTAGTAGGTCATTTTTTCCAGGAATGACTAGTAATTCTGGTCACCCAAACAAAGAGAGCACTCGTTTTTCTGAAAAACTAGTCCTTTTATAGTCCGGTTCTTGTTGGGCATCCAAGAACATAAAGCCCTTCGGAAGTTATTGACCTTAATGTTTTCTGAATAAACAACTGAATAGAGAAAAGCCATTATTCAGAATATATATAAAAGGCACAAACATGAAAGAATTTTCAAAAGGACATTATCAAGTAAATATGACCGAATTTCCATTTTCATATTTTCCTGGAGTGCCTTCCAAACAGACTGGAGTTTAAAAGAAACAATCAGTTATCAACTACTACTTAAGCCACTGCTTTGTCAAATCCTACAATACCTTTTTCTACTGTAGGACAGAAAAGACAAGGAATAACAAAGAGTTAGACTTTTTAGTCTGAGCACTGCACTGACAGCATTGATGTCGGGTTATTTTTACCAGTGCAATTACAAATGCATTAGAAATCATGTTCCATGTGCACACGCGATAATATGAATACGATACACACACGTCGACTTGAAAACTTCACATGTAACAGCCATTTTCAAGCCATGGAGTGCAAAGATGACAGAAACAGTTTTATTCTGAAAGAAGATGAAGGTGGAGTTAGAAAGCAGGAAGGGTAGTACTTGATAGTGTCCTTTCAGAAGGTGGCATTCAATGGCCTTGTTATTGCTGTGTATTTGCTAGTCTTCAGCTTCTTACCAGATATATTTACAGCACATCAGTCTGAACATTCCCAGAGCACAGCTCTAAATTTTGCTTTAGAGATACAAACATAGAACAGTTAAACATACGTAGTCCTGTTTTAGAAACTGAACTTTTAAAGTTTAGGACTTCTGTTGTGCTTCTTTGGCTAAGTCCTATTTAAATATTGATAACACTTACAATTCTATAATTCTGCCACTATTTAACAGCTAACAGAAATCTTTGGTGTGTTTAAGTTAAGAATCCATTAGGGTACAAGCTTCAAAATATGAACATTCAGGCAGTTCTGGCCCCTCTCCTGCAAACTGCTCAATACTGAAGTAGATGAGGATTAACAAAATTTAACACCAAAGTATCTGAATATGATTTAAAATGATCCACGCCACTTGAGAGTTTGTAGAACTGTGATGACGAGAGCTTTTCACCACAGCTCACTTGTGTTCAGGTCACTGAATAAATTTAACAGTTACAATTATACACGTAAGTCCAGTTTCCCATTTTAAAGATTATTTGAGATAATAATTTATTATTAGGGAAAACTGGGGGGAAATTTAAATCTTAATTCTCATCTTAATGAGAATCCTATGTAATTCTTGTGAGAAATCATGAAATTACTTCAGATACTTTCTTTGGCATCATATTCACCAAAAAACCACAGAAAAATTATTTTTAAAAAAGGCTTAAAATAGAAAGCTTGATGAGGTTAAATTATACTAGATTTCATGGTAACACCAAACTTGTAGTTCAAAATGGTTCTTTTGGAAAAAAAACCCCTTATGTTTAGTAAATAAAAAGCTAAAAATAATTAGATATAAAATACTCTTAAGAGTTTGACTTTGGTTTTATAAACACAGTACAAGAAAGTGAGAAACAAAACAATTTAATTAGCGACTCACAAGATATTTGTAATTATTGATTAATTGTTTTTGCTTAAATAGAAATTGAGTACTGTTCTGGAACAGTCTTTAAATTTCTCCTCTATCAGATAACCTGAAAATGTGGCACTCAGCTATGACTTACGCTCTAACAAGGATGAACCACGTCAACCCTTCATGTCTGTTCACAGATTAAAATGACCTTGCGAATACTTCCTTTTCTTTCAAAGTCAGAGTGTGAGGTGCACTTTAGAAGACAAACAAGATTGAAAAAGCAAGAAAAAAAGGCATATTAAAATTATATAGAACTAAGTGTAGAAAATTAGACAATACCATTGTCTAGATCTTCCCACATTATTCAATATTAGAGATCAAGGAAGAACTAAGAGGCCAAATTTAAGCAGCCTAACTATACTCAGGGGTTATAAACACCCTGTTTAGTGTCTTCATAAAATATCACAGAATCCCTTTTCAGAAGAACCTAGTGCCTGTGTCCACTGGCTAGACTCCAGAGTCCAGGTGACTTTAAAACCCTCCAAAAATGCCTGAGGGTTCAAGTAAAATTATATATTAATTTCTGTGTGAAACATAATTCAAAGTTTGTGTTTTATAGCCCTGCCTGCCCTTACAAATTTCAATGAATTTGATATAGTCCTTATTCTTTCAGAATGCTTTCTATTACACTTAAAACATTAACTTAAAGTGAGATGTAGAAAGGCAATTTTTTTAAATTAATAGTCAGATATGTAATGACACTTCTCAGCCACTATCCTTAAAAGATATTTAAGAGCATTATTTTAAAAGACCATCTATAAGATTCTTAAAAACTCTTAAAATCACAAGAAACACTCTTTCAGTATGCATCAAAATGTGCCTAAATGTTCAAATATTATGTAAACAAATTGTTTTTCCAAAACTATGCAGAAGACTTGTGAGTCCAAATAAAATATAAAATACAAATCTTCGTTGCCGTATCAGCCTTCTGGCGGCTAATGGCCTATTAAATCAGGTGGAATGTTATGGTC